GGTTGTGGAGGGTTTTAGGGGTTGTAAGGGTTTTAAGGTTGTGGTAGGTTTAAAAGGGGTTGTGGTGGGTTTAAAGGGGGTTATGGTAGGTTTAAGGGGTTGTGGTGGGTTTTAAGAGGTTGTGGTGGGTGTTAAGGGTTGTGGTGGGTTTCAGGGGTTGTGAGAGTTGTAGGGGTTGGTGAGTTTTAAGGGTTGTGGTGGGTAAGGGGTTGTGGTGGGTTTCCAGGGGTGGAGAGTTGTAGGGGTTGTGGTGAGTTTTAAGGGTTGTGGTGGGTGTTAAGGGTTGTGGTGGGTTTCAGGGGTTGTGGAGAGTTGTAAGGGGTTGTGGTGAGTTTTAAGGGGTTGTGGTGGGTTTTAAGGGGTTGTGGTGGGTTTTAAGGGGTTGTGGTGGTTTAAGGGGTTGTGGTGGGTTTTAAGGGGTTGTAAGAGTTATAGGGTTGTGGTAGGTGTTAAGGGGTTGTGGTGGGTTTTAAGGGGTTGTGGTGGGTTTTAAGGGGTTGTGGGGTTTGGAAGGGGTTGTAAGAGTTTTAGGTTGTGGTAGGTGTTAAGGGGTGTGATGGGTTTTAAGGGGTTGTGTGGGTTTTAAGGGTGTGGTGGGTTTTAAGGGGTTGTGGTGGGGTTTAAGGGGTTGTGGTGGGTTTTAAGGGGTTGTGGTGGGTTTGAAGGGGTTGTAAGAGTTTTAGGGTTGTGGTAGGTGTTAAGGGTTGTGGGTGGGTTTAAGGGGTGTGATGGGTTTAAGGGTGTGGTGGGTTTAAGGGTTGTGGAGAGTTTTAAAGGGTTGTGGTGGGTTTTAAGGGGTTGTGGTGGGTTTTAAGGGGTTGTGGTGAGTTTTAAGGGGTTGTGGTGAGTTTTAAGGGGTTGTGGTGGGTTTTAAGGGGTTGTGGTGGGTTTAAGGGGTTGTGGTGGGTTTTAAGGGTTGTGGTGGGTTTTAAGGGGTTGTGGTGAGTTTTAAGGGGTTGTGAGAGTTTAAAGGGTTGTGGTGAGTTTTAAGGGGTTGTGGAGAGTTTTAAGGGGTTGTGGTGGGTTTTAAAGGGTTGTGGTGAGTTTAAGGGGTTGTGGTGGGTTTTAAGGGGTTGTGGTGAGTTTTAAGAGGTTGTGAGAGTTTTAAAGGGTTGTGGTGGGTTTAAGAGGTTGTGGTGAGTTTTAAGAGGTTGTGAGAGTTTTAAAGGGTTGTGGAGTTTTAAGGGGTTGTGAGAGTTTTAAAGGGTTGTGGTGGGTTTTAAGAGGTTGTGGTGAGTTTTAAGAGGTTGTGGAGAGTTTTAAAGGGTTGTGGTGAGTTTAAGAGGTTGTGAGATTTTAAAGGGTTGTGGTGGGTTTTAAGAGGTTGTGGTGAGTTTAGAGGTTGTGGAGAGTTTTAAGGGGTTGTGGAGAGTTTTAGGGGTTGTGAGAGTTTTAAAGGGTTGTGAGAGTTTTAAGGGGTTGTGGGTGAGTTTTGAGGGTTGTGAGATTTTAAGGGTTGTGGTGAGTTTTAAGGGGTTGTGAGAGTTTTAAGGGGTTGTGGTGAGTTTTAAGGGTTGTGGTGAGTTTTAGGGTTGTGGAGATTTTAAAGGGTTGTGGTGAGTTTAAGGGGTTGTGGAGAGTTTTAAGGGGTTGTGGTGAGTTTGAGGGGTGTGGAGATTTTAAAGGGTTGTGGTGAGTTTTAAGGGGTTGTGGAGAGTTTTAAGGGGTTGTGGTGAGTTTTAAGGGTTGTGGTGGGTTTTAAGAGGTTGTGGTGAGTTTTAAGAGGTTGTGGTGAGTTTTAAGAGGTTGTGGAGAGTTTTAAGGGGTTGTGGTGGGTTTTAAGGGGTTGTGGAGAGTTTTAAGGGGTTGTGGTGGGTTTTAAGGGGGTTATAGCCATCGAAAAAAATCAACCATGTCAACTTTGGTATTGTTGTTGTTCACTTTGTAACTATTGTTCTGGCTAATTAAATTTTTCTTCATCTTTCTTTCTTTCTTTCTTTCTTTCTTTCTTTCTTTCTTTCTTTCTTTCCTTCTTCTTCTTCTTGTATATCCCCCTCCCCACCCCCTACTTCCCAGGTTGCATAACGGCATTAAACACAGATAATCTGAAGTTGATTCCATTATCTTTGTAACTGTGATATTAGTAGACAAGGTTTTTGACGTGTGTGTTTACTGTGTTTACGAAATCCCTTGGTGTTTGTTGTTTACAGGGACCCTTTTAAGACAAATATCCTGGGACTCTGTAAACACACACATCAAGGGATTCTGTAAACACACTCTTCAAGGGATTCTGTAAACACACACATCAAGGGATTCGAGTCAGCTTCTGGGCTTAACATATAATCTGTCTTTGCATTTAATATACAGTATATTTTACCTAATTTTAGTGCAAGTGTTTTATGTATTGTACTGTATGTGACAGAATGTACTGAAAACCTGTGAAAATATTCTTTCTCTCTCTCTCTCTCTCTCATTTAAACAAAATACGTGGCCACACTTAACGGAGGAAGGTGGCTACAGTTGACTAAACAAATTGCCACCTTCCTCGGTTCAGTGTGGCCATACTTTACATAATAAGGTGGCCACACTTCACATAGTATGATTACCACATGTCACATGGTAAGGTGGACACACTTCACGTAGTATGATTGCCACGTGTCACATAGTAAGGTGGACACACTTCACGTAGTAAAGTGGCCACACACCACGTAGGCAGAGACGGGCACAGGTTATCATATCTGTATAAACAAGTGGCCCTGATAAGAGAAAGCGTTATCTAGCTATATGCAGCGTCCTCCTCACTACACTACCACCAACTATCACCATCACCACCACCACAATCACTGCCACAACAACTTCCAGAACTACCGTCACTATCACCACCACTACCACCATCCATTCCCAAACCATTATCCATCACCATGACTATCACCATCACACACTATCACCCTCGCAAAAAGTAGTATCACTACCATCACCTTCTTGACCATTTATCACACACAGACAGACACACACACACACACACACACACACACACACACACACACACACACACACACACACACAAACCTCCAAAATTGTCATCAGCTAAACCTCCCTCCACTCGAGGAAGAGGAGGAGGAGGAAAGGAAGAGGAGGATGAGGGAAGAGGAGGAGGAGGATTAGGAAAAGAATAAGGAAGAGAAGGAGGAAGAAGCAAGAAAAGAAGAGGAGGAAGAAAGAAAAGGAAGAAGAAAGGAAGAAGAAGAAGAACAGGAGGAGTTGATCTTGTTAACTGACACGACGGAGCCACACACTGTCTTATCAGTCTGGTTCTTTATCAGTTCCAGCTACATAAGCCATCAACTACAGTACATTGCTTTGGTCACCTTCCACCAACCTCAAATAAAACTCTCTTTATTTTAATGTTTCTAAATGTATAAATAAAATAAAATAAAAGGCTTTTTTTATGTTTCTTAAAGTATCAATCAAATCAAACCGTTTTTAATAATTTCTCAAAAGTATAACTTACCATTTTTTCTTAATTTCTCAAAAAACTACAAATCAAACTTTATTTTTTTAGACACAAAAAAATGAAAGATTTTGTCAAACTTTACACTTTAACTGAGGGGATTTTGTCCTGAGGGATTTTGTCCTCTGAGTATTTTGCTGCAGGATTTTGTCCTAGGGAAACATTGTCTTAAGGGGATTTTGTCCTGGGGAATTTTGTCCATGGTGATTTTGTCCTTGGGGATTTTGTCCATGGTGATTTTGTCCTGGTGATTTAGCCCGGTCTTCTTACAAGTAATGTGGGAGATTAATACTCGAGGCACTCATCAACTAACCATACCACCCAAAAAATTAAAGTACTTGTGATAAAGATGCACTCATCCTTGGGCCTTATCTGTACCCATGATATTACTCAAGTGGGTCACAACCTCTCACGACTTCTTACAACCCCTCACGATCTCTCAAAATCGCTCACCTCTCAAAATATATCACAAACTCTCATGGCTTTTTACAACCTCTCACAATATCTCACAAACACTCACAATCTCTCATACAATTATCCTCTTTATCCCTTTTACCCTTACCACCCTGTCATCCATTTGCTGTCATTTGTTTGCTATTAATTGTTTGCTGTCATCCATTTGCTGTCATCTGTTTGCTGTTAATTGTTTGCTGTCATCTGTTTGCTGTTAATTGTTTGCTGTCATTTATTTGCTGTCATCTGTTTGCTCTCAATGCTGGAACATCCCATTAAGTCACCGAAGGCTACAGTCTTATAAAAATCTGTGTATTTACCCCGGCAGAATAAAATAAATCTTAATACCCTCTACTTTTATAATAGTCGATTAATCAACTGTGGACGTTTACAAATGGATGGATGGCTTCCGCTAATGACGTTATGATTGGTCTCCGCCGAATACCGACCAATATTATTGACAATGACCTTCGCTTATTGTCCACCATTTTGACCCTGACTTGTATTTTCACATAATCAAACATTTTCCGATAACTTTGAAAAGAATCACACGAAGGAAACAAAAAAAACTATAAACAATGCAAAACAGACGATTGACATTACCGGGTATCACGCCATAATACCACCCCGTACAGTACACACAGGTATATAAAGACTTACCTTGGCCCAATGAAATGAAAACCTAAAAAGTATTGGAACTCACCTTAAAATCAGTCAGTTGATGAAGAATACAATCTCTAAAAAATTTACACAAGAAGAAAGCCACAAAGGAGTGACACAGCCTTCGAGCCCATTTTATCAATACAGATCCTAACGGCCTCGGAAAGTGAGTCAAGGACACTCATCTTTCATCTCACTTAACCCATTGATTAGATGAAAATGAGAGGATTAACTCATATCCTTCATGAGATCTTTGCATTACAAGCAGTTACTTATACACAGAGGCATAGACAGACATATAACTGATAACATGGTCCAGAGGCACAGACAGACAATGATAACACAGGTGACATCAATACTCGTCAATCTATGTCTGGGTTGAAGGGCAAAATCCGTCAACAGTGTTATAAGACAAGAGAGGGTTGAGTCTACTTACCGCCTGAGCTAGTTGTCGGTAGTTGCAATCATGTAGATGGGCGGCGTGGGGTGAGGGGGAGGTGACCACCCCATTCTGCGGCTCGACCCAACACTCGGTAACAATCTGCATCTCTCCATCAGCTTCCACACTGTCTCCCTCCTCCCAGTCTTCATCTACAATACTGTAACAAAGGGAAATATACACAATTATTACTACTATACATTAATCTACTATTACCTGTACTAGTCAGATCATTTTCTCAGAATTTATACTTAACCCTTAATAAAATCGTCTGGTGTTAGCTAAATAAAATACTAAAAGTGGCATTCCCTAAATAAACATATTAAGAGAATTTATGTAAGTGGATTTTTAATAATATCTAAGATAGAATTAACACAACAAATTAATTCTAATATCTATCGTTTTATTATCTTCTCTCCTCTCCTACTTTTGTGTCTCAAACACACATAGGGAATAACAGAAGAGATGTAAAATAAGAGGTAGAGATGGCTCCCTCCTTCTCACACACCTCCTCAGGGAATAATATGAACTGACCAGACATCAACGGAGTAAGTGAGTAGGTTGTGAGTCAGTTTAAAATGAAAGCCTGGAGTACCTTACCTATCTCTACTGCAGTTTGTGATATGTGGTGGGAATATGACGTACTGGGCCACGCAGGGGAAAGTCGCCAGGCCACCTTCAGAACAAGTTTCCATCAGACCTTCACCATCGCTCTCATTCAATTCCAACTGTTTAAAAAAGATCTTGGTTAATAAAATGGCTCCTCCTCTACAGTATTACATGAATAAAGTAAACACAAGATTGAAATCAATCAAAGTTATATACAGTACTGTACCAAAAACAGGATTTTTAGACACAATGCGAAAAAAAGACAAATCAGTATTTCTTACCTTCATATCAAACTCTCGAACCATCGTTATGATTCCATTACACGAATACGCAAAGTTAAAGCCTTCTTGAAGTCGTATTCTGTAAAAAAAATAAATAAAAAATAAAAAACTTTGAATTCTTTCTTTTTCATACACAATGTTTATAGTGTGTTACAATTAGTAATATTAATAACTTTCTCTCAGCACAAAGTTTATAAGGAGTCTGAAAGGTGTGGCTGACTAGTATGGGATTATTCACAGACAATTAAAAGGAATCTCAATTATTTCTCCTTCTGTAATGCTTCCTATGCCTACCCGGGACTAACCTAACCTAACCCACCCTGGTCTAAGTTAACCTAAGACTACCCTGGTCTAGGACTACCCCGGCCTAACCTAACAAGCTCCTGACGTGTTTATGTTGAGCTGTGTGATGTGGCAGAGGTGAACCAGACAGATACCTTAGGGGCCTTGTTATAGAAGAGAAACGGTGATGCCAGTTAATGGAATGAGCGACAAGGATCACATCAAGATTAACCCCCTAGCTTATTTCACCTACTGATTAAACACCCTGGGAACAAGGTTAGCTTAAACTAGGTTGTGGTAGGTTAGATTAGCTTTAGGTTAGGTTAGAGGTATTAAGCAATAGATGAAATAAACTGGGGGAGGGTTAATCTTCATGTGATCAAATAAATACCAATAAATTGAGAGACAGTGTATGCTCTTGATTTTAACTAGTCTACATTATTGAGGAAAAAGACCTACAAGGGTAATAATAATAATAATAATAATAATAATAATAATAATAATAATAATAATAATAATAATAATAATAATAATAATAATAATAATAAATAATAATAATAATCCTTCCAAATTCCCTTCATTCAACATTGTCCAGTAAATACCTAGAGAGAGTGTTGAGAATTCTGGCCACAGCATTGAGGGACACGGCTGGAGCACAGGGAGCTTGTACCGCCCAGATCCAGCGTCTGTGGTGCAAGTAGCGGGAGAGGAGAGCCATGTTGTGGGTGGCAGACTTGGTTGCCCCGAGTTTATGATACACGGACCTAGTGGAAGAGCTGTTGGGGGTTTCCGGTACAATATTTAATAGGTTGCTGGGCATCTTGTCATACCTGGGGAAAGAAAAACACACACAACAATGGAGGAAATTGCAGCGGGCATATAATGGATTTTTTTTTATTGTCGTGTAATTCACAATTTTTTTTCCAGTTACCTTACAGTATATCAAAAACAAATCTATACTGTACACACATTCTTTGATAAATGTTTCTTTACCTTCGTCCCTGTAAGTAAGTACTAATCCAGTGTGTGTGGTTGTGTGTGAAAATACATAAAGCTACATAAATTGATATGCCTGTACTGTACTACAATCACACACATATACACACACAGTTTTTTATTTTTCTCTCAAGATTGTGTCAGGTTAATCAACAACACAAACCTCAAGAAAGGAAAAAAGTTATAGAAAAATGATGTAAAACAAATGTAGAAAAGTGACCAAAAACAACTGAAACATCAAGTAAAAAATACCCCCCCAACTCTTCAACTTTGATAAGGAAGAAACAGGCTCAATTCAATACCATCCCTGGTTACTTGATTTCAATTTAGCTCCTCAGAATTTATTTTACCAATCTTTCGACCTCAGCTCTCAGCAATACCTTTAGAAATGAAATAATAATATAACCAACCATATAAGGATCTTCTCAATTGGCTTGTGGGTGATGACGCAGCAGGGAATGTTTGAGGCCACTCGGGTGAGAAGTGGTCGTACTACTGACGCCCTCATGGCACTGGACGCTGACAAGGTCATATCGTCACCCAACTTGTCCTGAAAACATGATTTGATTTTATTAGCATCAGTCATACATAAAAGAAATTAGCAGAAGCCTTGTATATCTCCCATCTCAAAATGATAAACACCTCACAGAGCAATGGGTTAAATCAGACTGACAGCCTTATAGTTGAAGAGAAATACCACAGAAGAACAAAACTTTTACAACAATAACAGTAAATAAATGAGAGCAAATGAGGGGAAAAAGGTGTATAAGTACAGAATTTGTTCTCTTTTTGCTCCATTTATCCCCACAAAAGTTTAAGGTTTGGTGTAAATTGTACTCATAATAGTGCAGGTAAACACTTTAAGGAAAGACACAATTACACACTTAACACCTCAGTTTTAACCTGTACCTGAGATTGGTGTATGGCCGGGGGTAGTGATTTGCTGCGCTCGGTAAGACCCACGCGTGATGGGAAGGTAAGTCCTTGAATCCTCTCAGAGATGTGTCCAACCAACTGAAAGTATAACAGTTTAGGTCATTATAATTCTCTAATGCCATAATTTCAGATTGTTTCAGAATCAAGATTAGGATTTACTTAAAATAAATGTGATGAGTTTTGAAAAATGCCTGTAATCAGTTTTCAAGCTGAGTATAAAACAAATCTTGCTCCTTTACACACACACACACACACACACACACACACACACACACATACTCTTAAGCTTGATATGTCATCCAGATCTTTAGGAAATTAAATCAATATCAAACCTGTTGGAGTCTACACATCTCATCAACAGCAACCTAAAGCATCATCCCTCCAACATAAAACTCATCTCACTCTTGGTCTCATACACAATACTTAAAAGACAGACAAACAGTATGGTCCAAGTGAGGAAGAAGAAAATGTCTACATTTTAATAGCTGTTATTTCTCACCTCAATGACAGTAACTCAGCCATGACAAGTGCTTATTGTCGCCACACCACTATGTCACATTAAATGTAAATATAACCACAAAACATAAAAGCGGCGCACTGTACCTGGTTCCTGACGTGTCCGGGTGTTCCTCCGAGGAAAGCCAACCGGATAACAAGGCAGGGTGGAGGCTTGGACGTGATCCTCACCATAAAGAAAGAGATGGGCTGCTCCTCTCCATCTCCCTCACTGGTAAAAATATTGATTTCCAGTTAAAAGAAATGTCAAATTCTAGAATACTTCCTTATCTAAAGTCAGTACGTCATAAACCATAAAGATATCCAAGACCTTGTGGTGAAAATGCAAAACTAAACTACAAGGATTGATTAATTGATTGAGGTAATTACATCCCTGGTGAAGCAACAGTTTAGGTCATATGTTGCTGAATTAAAATAAAAACTTAGATGACCTTATTCATGGTACAAAAGTTGTACACATTCTTCATTTGCAGTTTTAACCTTGACCTAAAAACTCTTTCTACCATAAAATATGACTTACTTGTACAAAAACTTGATATAGGAGTCATTCTCTATCAGGATAAAGTCGCACCACTCTGCCAACAGTGCCGTGAGAGCCGACTCTGCCTGGCGACAATGTACAATTCCATACCTGGGATTCATAAACACCCATCAGATTACTGAAGATCAGGAGCACAAGAAAACACCATCCTTACCTATGACCTAAAAACTCAAATGAGAAACTGATGGGAAAAGAAACTCATCAGAGACTATGAAATTAAAATTACAAATTCTTTTGTGTCTGACAAATATTTCCTAGACTTTAACCTCTCTCACAAAAAAATTGAAAGACTAATAATAATCACAATTAACTATAAAATACATTTCATATAATAACAAAAAATAAAGGAAGATATAATGAACTATATAAGACTAAACAGATCTATAATAACTCTTGAACTTTTTTTGAGAGATAAAGACTTAATGTGTAAATCCAAAATACAAATGATAATTATACTAAATAAACTTATTACAGACCTTCCGCTTGTGTTGGTCACGTGCAGGTTCTTGGGAAGTGGATGATCGTGCTCCAGTATAACACCGATCCGATGAGTGTGCATCCACTTCTGCCATATGTTGGAGTCCAGCATACAAACTGGCTTCCAGAAGGTTGTGAATTGTGGGAACTGGTCACTGAAACAAATAACCATACCTCCATCGTTAACCCCCTTCAGTATGACGACTTAACCCTCGAGTATGATGATTTAAACCCTTGAGTATGATGTCTTAACCCCTTGAGTATGAAACCTTCCTGAAAACCCCTGTGATTTGTGATTGGCAGAAAATGAAACTAATTTTCCCATAAGAAACAATGTATTTAGGGGAGAATGTGTTCCTGGCTGGGAAAACTGGGTGTAATGTACTTGAGCTGATTTATTGTACAGACACACTTATAAATACAATAAAAAATACAATTGAGAATGAAATATGATAAACAGATCAGGGTAATGATCAAGAAAAACATAGGAGTCTATTTTCTTACCTTGTTGCATCAGATATAGAATTAATATGGCCAGGGTTACGATAAAACACAGGATGTCCTCTCTTGATGCAGTCGGGGATCTTGAAGTATGTGGGATTTGAGGCAAAGGACTGAAGGCCAACCAAGAGCATATCAGTATCACGCAGGTGCTGTAAGGTGCTCCAGTACTTGGCTACCATGCTCTGACGGTACTTAGAGCGAAACTGACGATGAACGTCACTCGTCACATCGTTGAGAAATTCATACGTTGCTGTCGATTAAAAAGAAGATGATTTAAACAAGGCAGAGATTTTCCTTCTCACAAAAATCTCACTCTAATCACAAATCCTTTCTTGTACTCAAAATCTGGCAAACTGAATGCATTTAAAAACAGAATCTAAATGTACTTCTATTCAATGATTTTTATTTCTCAGAATATGAACATCAATTGGTAGAAGAAAAGTATTGAAGGTAAAAGGAAAGAGTTTAAACACTTAGAAATCCCCCCCCTTTACTTTATCACCCACACTTAAGACAACTTACCCTCAATCCAGACTACAGTGTTTAAAGATGACTGTGTTGGAGGCCAGGCAGATCTGATGTGGTATTCAATGAAAATAGAATATTTCCAAGGAAGAACTAATACCAGCTGAAAATGTACCAAAAATATAGTATATACATAATGTTATAAGATAAACACAAATACATGACACAAAAAACATCCCAAAATGACCTAAATTATCATCATTATTATCATCATCATCATCATCATCCATCATCAATCAGTCATCATTATCACCACCATCAGACCCAAAATCCACTGGTAAATATAATTAGATTGGGAATAAAAACTTATCGAAGCTTCTGGGGAAACGGTACCAATGTCCATCTATTCCTTCAAGAGCCACTGCACTAGGGAGAGGCCACAGATGTAAACAAAGCAGCGAGCAATCCCATAATAACTCAAGAAAACATCAGGGAAATTCAAGAACACATCCGGGGAAACTCAAGAACACATCCGGGGAAACTCAAGAACACATCCGGGGAAACTCAAGAACACATCCGGGGAAACTCAAGAGCACATCCGGGGAAACTCATTAATACATCCAGGGAAACTCAAAAACACATCCGGGGAAACTCAAGAACACATCCGGGGAAATAATCAGAAACAAGACATAACTGGGAACATTTTTACAGGGGGTTTTAGGGGGAAGTCTTGACATGAGATTACTTCAAAATTTCATAACATTAACATAATTTTAATACATCTTATTACATCTTTATATTATGCTAACTTTATGGCTGGTTATATAATATCATAAGTAACATTAACAAACTCTACTTAATTTTTCAGTACATTCTAATGAGATAATTCTGAAGACACAAATACTCTTATTCTTGAGTCAATAATATTCTAAATTTTCTTAGAGTACAATTAAAGGCTAACCTGTATGTGATCCTCAGCAATGGTGACCTGTTTAATGGCATAACCTTCCCTAAGTCGACATGACAAGACAGCGTTCAGTGTTGTGTTGAGCTGATTCTCTCTCTCCTTCTTCCTCATAAGCTGTGTGGCTTCTTGGGCTACTGGCAGCAGGCTGTAAAATCTGATATACAGTATACACTTAATTTATTTTTCTTCATTATATTCAACTTGCTTTAAAATATGACAGAGATTACTTTGGAGGAGATTAACAATGAGTAAATACTGTACCGGTACTAGTCTTTCTTATAAAGCACAGTACAATACAGTATTTATTTTCTAAACTTTATGCTTGTAACTACCTTCAATTTTCTAAGTTCTCTCCACTTTACTAAAATATCTCAAAAAATCAATCTTAAGTGTTTCATATACAAGTTAGGTCTTTTACCAGCCTCCCAATTTGAAAATATATATAAATTCAAAATGCACAGCTAAAATATCCACCAACAAATATATACTGTATACATATGGAATTTTTTTTACAGTGGAGCTCTATTTCAACCACAAGAAGGAGTCAGAATCTCTAGTGAGAGCCTGGGAATACAAATTAGTTCTTTACCACCTAATAAGACCAGACGCAAGGACATATAAGTCCGTCAAAAGAGTGGATTCCTGGACTTGAATTCTCAGGGATCTTTAAGGTAAATCTTCTTTCTAATTGGGAGGTGAGAACCCATTTAACTATCTCACTTAAAACAAAAAATAAATAAATAAAATGGTGACCTAAATAACCAGAAAATTAAGCTGAAACTCCGCTATATGGAGTGAGGAAGAAATTCACATAGAAATCTTTTAAAAGCACCTGCACTGACTTACCCACTAATTCCCTCATATCCAGTGTCTACAGAGAGGCCATGCATAAACTTCTGAAAGCCCCAAGACAGCAGAGACTTGTGGTATTCATTCATATGATAATCATAATCATCTCCCTGGAAAAAAAAAAAACACAGATACTCAAACAACTATATAACAAGGCACATAATAAAACATCTTCAGATTACACATGTATACTCCTCCAAAGTTCATCTCTCAATACTCACAATTGGTGGTAGAGTAGCCAGATATGCCCCACATGTAGCCGTAGCTAAGAAATTCATGAGGTCTGAGAACGGAACATAGCCTAAAGAGGCGTGGGGGTAGTAAACAGACCCCAGTTGAAGAAAGCTACAGGCAATGGTCTGATTCCTGAGCTGCACAAGTAACGAGTCAAACACTGTAGCATCTGGGAGACTTATTACCCCATCAGTGATTACCACAACACCTGCAATAATTACATATCAAATAAACTTCCATATAATAAATTAGTGTCTCTAATGTTAACTAATAAAGCTGGATTAATTTGTTCTTTAAAATTATATGAAGTACAGTATTTTCAAAGCCAAACCTACAAAAGAATTATATTACTACAGTCTAAATCCCACTCCTCTTGTACTGTAATTGTTAAGATCCACTACACACAATACAGTCAAAATAACACAGGACCTTAGGGCTGTGTTGTGGAGATGAAGCACCACAGTAGAATATACATAACACAGCAGTAAGGATTAAATGGATAATAATGAGTAAGGGAAAATTTATACTTCTTGTAAATCCTGTCACTCTACAAGGAACTCAGGAAAGATCTTTAATAACTTTGAATCACCCGAGAAGTGAAAATTAAACAGATTTATCAGTTATTTATGTTTACTAAGACAGTTTACCTGCACTGCTATTCTCCGGAAGCAACTGAAGAGCCACGATGCCATATCTCAACATGTCAACGAAGCCAATATCCGGGGAGACCATCGGGTTAGTCAGTGTAGTGGGCCCCAGGATGATGGCTTCCTCTGTCATCTTCTGTCCAAGCTCAGATTTTTCACGGGTAAAGTCCATCTGGCCATATGTTTGAGCTGTGGCCTTTTAAATAATACATCAATTAAATACATCATCCAATTTTCCAACATTACAAAATCACTACTTGTACTGTATCCTGAAAAATAGTAAAAATGGGCCATAATGTATTTTCAAAACCTACAAAGAAATTAATTTATATAAACATTAAAAAACATTATTAACCTCTTGTGTACAGGCCCCCCTCTCTGTTGAATAAAATCGTCTGGCATTAACCAAATAAATATTAAAAGTGACGTCCCCACAGTGAAGGAGTTAAGCTATTTATTATGCTAAGGGTTCTCACCTCTGCCAACTGTGTTTCAAGTTTGCTCAGCTTGATTTGTATACTGTTGAGAAATTCATCCAAGTTGCGCACCATCAACAGCCACCCCTGAACCAGCACTTGTTGAGACTGGGACTTGAAGAACGGTGTGTGGGCAATAATGGTCAGGTACACTTCAGGTTGGAACAGCAGTTGACTCCCTATAAAAGATAACATGGTATTAATGAATCATCAAATACAGTATACAAAGTACAGTACCCCAGCCACTGTATTCATATAAAGATACTACTGTACTGTACTACATCTTATATATTTTACTGTACTATGAAGCAATAAGGAATTAATAACTCTGTAGTCTTGATGGTACAGTGGCAATACTGAAGGACACCCTGGTAATGCTGCCTGGAGGAGGAGGAGGAAGAAGAGGGGGAGGGAACTTGCCCAACAATATGACCCAAGTGGTGGCATCAAGTGTGGTTCTCCAGCGCTGTATTTACTGCCTGTGGTCTTTACCTAGATTCACACACTCACACAGGCAACATCTCTTGGTTTACTTTTACTTTTCCTTCTATTTCTTATTTCTACCTTCTCTAACTTGTCTTTCTATTGTTCTTTTTCCTTCTACTTTACTTCTTTGACATTTAAAGATAAAAAAGCACTGGAAAACATTGAAAAACATAAGAAAATCACAGAGTATTACCCATACAGTATTAAATCTTTAGTGCTGATAAATCATGCAAAATCCAGATGAGTTTACAGAGTGGTCGTGAAATAACTGACAACACAGGTGGGTCTTTAAATGTCTTGTGAATGTGTCAGTTATTTCTCCCCCACCCTGTACAGTACAATATAAATAACTCATCCACTAACCTGGTACATAGAAAGGCCTGACAATTCCTTTTAAACATTGTCTCAAAGTAGTGAAAACTTCATCTAACACAACTCTGCCCTTTGTCACGTCCACAATTGACGTAGATGGCGACAAGTCAAGGCAGAAAACTAGACGATATTTGCGAGAGAGGAAGTGAAGTGTTGTGCGCTGTGTGATGCGGTACTTATACAGGTGTGATGTGTCATAGTCCCACTCCATTGGTATATCTAGAGGGATAACTGACACAACCTCCAGTTCCTCTTCATTGTCACTCTGCATATAAGAGAATACATTGAGATATATGTAAACAATTCTACATTTTTATTACCATGTGATCGTAAACTGGCAGATATGTTAACAATTCAGTGAGATATTAAATACAATCTTTATGAAACACTAAAATATGAACATTAAAGTAATCTGTGTAATTTCATGGGTATTTAGAATATTTCAACCTATAGTATTTCCTAATAAGTCTCAATGACCTGGTTAGCTAATTCCAAGTCATTATCCCTGGTATTATTATAGAAAACCAAATCATTCTTCTTCTCACGAGTTTTTCTCTCCTTGGGAAAGTGATGATGGAATTTATCCGCCTCAAGTACCACTCTGCCCGTACATTGCGAGAGATGCGGTACTCCTTCTTCATAAGTATGTAAACATGCTCAGCTTCAAGGGCCTCCACACCCTGAAATAAAAAATCCATAATTCAGTATCACAAACACAGAATACAGACCTTATCTTCATCACCATCATCATCATTTTACAGCCATTTTCAACACCTGTGTGGATTAGCCCTAATAGTTATAATTTTCCTGGATAACACCACCATTCTACTCTCAGTACCTACAATTTCCTGCATCATTTATGGATTATTGGTGGACGTTCATTGCTAAAATATCTTTATTCTGTGATTGTGTTAATTTTCTTCACCCAAAGTGAAATATAGTAATGAAATCACCTTCAATCATAAACTAAAACACATTTCAACTTTTTCTCTGCTGACCCTGGATTATGTTTTAATTCTCCTTCAGCTAAAAAACATTGCTTCAAGTTTACCCTAAATACACTAAAGACAGTCATTTGATTCATGAAGTTGCAATATACAGTACACAGTGACCTCAGACCCTGTATTATATGACTACTGTTTCACCAATTATCCGCTGCTAAAATACAAACATACATATTATACATTATGGATATTTGGGTCCCATGATGGCAAGGAACCCAAGCTTATTTAACGTAATGATTCAACATCCTAACCTAACCTCCTCTAACGTAAACTAAATTAGCCTAACCTCCTATAACCTACACTAAACTAAACTAATCTAACCTAACCTAATTTAACCTAATATGTAACTTCTTATTAAGGTTACTTCTTATTTAGGTTAAGTTTTTATCCCAATGGGTATCTCGGATTTTTTTACATTTCTCTTATTTTAAATAATTTGCTCTATTTTACATTAAGTTTGGTATATATTGATGAAATCCATAAGGAACCAAGAAGAGTTAGTGTAAGCATGACCTTGTGAGGACAGGTCATGGAGGGTGTAACAACAGACCTATGCCATAATAACATTACACCATCACACATTACCTAAGTCATAACATACATCAAGATGGCTGAAATGAGATAAAAAATACTGTTTCCTAAATATATATAAATCTATGAGTGATACCATTAACTCTGATAATAAAGAATAGATAACAAAATAAAGGAGCAGTTTTGTCATATTAAAGGTCTTATCAACAAGGAGTCTGTGGGCTGGTAAATACCTCCACTACCTCACTCTACACCACTGTTGCTCTGTTTCACCAGTTAATACATCCTTTAACACACTATACTGACCTCCTCGTCTGTTGACCTAGGTTCATTCACCGTTGTCATCTTGATATAAGACTAAAGAGACCCATGGGGCCGTGTCTGCAGGTTGTTTACGTGGTGGGACAGCCTCACTCAACCATGAACAATAAATAAACCAACACAATAACTTTAATTGTCATAATTATGCCAAAGGACGCATTTCTTATCTCTATATGTAATTTAAAGTTCCTTGGCAAGTATTATATTTTATAGATAAAATTATTTATTAAGAGAATGAAATAACTATCATCTCGTCTCCCCAACCCTTGAACTGCTCCAGGGGTCGAGTCATTGAGTCCATGTGTTATTATATGATCAGTGTCTATTTGTAATTGTTGTTCGTATCCATATTTTGTAATTTACTGTACATCTGATATTTTCCAACTGAAATAGATAAATAAAAGCTATTACTACTAGTTATATATCATGGAGTAGAAGAAAACGGCAGTGGTGGCCCCGAGTGATAGGCGAGCGGTGAGGGCCTGGGTGTGTACCTCACTGGGAGACACTCATGTAATACAACAGGTGAAGGAAGACACACCTAACTCCATAACCGGCAGTTAAAGAAGAAATACACGTGGCCTAGTGAGTTCCACTTAGTGTATATGTTATACTCCGAGTGTGGTGTGTTGTCCACCGTGAAAAAGGCGTTATTTATTTATTTATTTTTAATTTTCGCCACCTATCAGCTTACTAGCCGGGAAACCTGACATTTTTGGTAGTGAGGGTCACATTTTATAACACACTTCCCACTTGTGTCTGCCCAAGGCTCGAACCCTTGACATATGGTGAGATATACTGCACACCTTACCACTGTACAGTACCACCACCTTCACGGATAACCCAGGCCTTATCTCTAACTGGTATTGTATTTCTGTACATCTAATTAGAAGTTGTCAATTAACATTAACTGATTCTGTATCATCAGAGGAATATTTTTACATAAAATGTTCCCAGTACAGTATAGTACAATACTACCAATGCAGACCAAGTATAAACTTTACACAGTACTTTTATCTCTTTTTATTTTCAGGAAAACTCAGCAGTCACAATGGGAGGCTTAAGGTGGGCATTTGGTCCCCAGCTTTTAAGACAAACATCAGCATCAGTAGTACCACGTCGTTTTTTGCCTGAACGTAAGTATATGCAGTACAGTACTATATACTGTAAATAAAATTACTGTATATACCACTTAAAAATATAACTTTTGTTTGTATTTTTATCTTTGCTAACACTTTTCAATATGGATACAGTATATAATCTTCACCCTTGGCTTGAAACAGTACTGTACTATATACAGTTCCTCAGGATTTCTCTTAGAGCCATTTTTTTTCCTTTACAGCCAGAAAACGCTTCTACAGGAATGTAACAGTAGCTGGAACAAGTGACACATATGAAGTGAATCTTGACCACCGTAAATTGAAGACACCTCTTGGAAATATTTTTAATGTAAGTCAAGTGTGACACTGATTAAAATACTTATTGTGTATTTGACTTTTTTTTCTTTTTTTGAGATACGTAGGAATGTTGCCTATGCTGACCTTAAGCTAAAATGCTGGTCCACCCGTGTATTGACAGTACTGTAAATTTAACTCTTTGACTTTGGTAAGTATTAATGACCACTGATCAGTAAAGTAGAAAACATCTTACACAACTGTTAAGACCAGGGTATCTGATAATACTTTAGAGAAATAATGTTTAATAGGCACATTTATTAACAAACAAACAAAAACTCTTAACACAAACAATAATGTTACAATAAATTAACACTACTCCTGTCCTGTTAATTAAATTCAACAGGTAAGGTCCATCACTCCGCCCCTAGTGAAGAGAAGTGTTGGTGGACGGATCCTCTCTAGTCTGGGTTCTCCATATGAGCTTAGAACTCCAGCACAGTTGTAGAGTTGATCCACAGTGTATAGTAGATAGTAGGGTTCAGGTAGACCACATGAATAGTTAAGTCGGTCCACTAAAGCCAGGAGTTGGAGCAGAGGAGTGGTGTGGCTTAACAGGAGTGGCAGAACCAGGTGGTAGCTGATCAGACCAGGTGGAACAGATGTCTTTTGCTATTTGGCTATTTTCTTTCATCCTCTTCGCCACTCATCGGCTTGTTAGCCGCTTGGGCGATCGGTCACGTCTCTGATTACTTTTCCTTTTCATTTATCTTCTTCACCTAAAGATCGGCTCGCTAGCCCCCCGGGCGATCGGTCACATCTCTGTCACGCACTGTTGGCAAATACTGGGCATGCACTGGCTCCTGAATGTACCTGAACCCGCTCCAGTGTTGGTCAAGTCTTGTCTTGAAAGAGCTCACACTTGATGCCATCACAACACTCTGGTAGATTGTTCCAAGAGTTCACAACTCTCACTCCGAAAAAGTTTGCCCTCGCAGTTTTCTGGACTTGCGGCTTCTTCAATCTTGAGCTGTGACCCCTTGTGGGGCGAGCGTCCGCCAGCTCCAAGTAAGGACACTCAACTGAGTAGTGCCCCCTGAGATGCTTATACACCTCAACTAGGTCCCCCCTTGCCCGTCTGTAGTATAAGCTAGGCAAGTTCAGGCACTCCAATCTCTCAGGGTAGCTGAGGTGCCGAAGTGCAGGCACCAGTCTGGTGGCCCTCCTTTGAACATTTTCAACAAACTGACAGTCCCTAGCATATCTCGGGGACCAGATGGGGTGACAGTACTCCAGATGGGGAAGCACTTCACTCCTGAAGATCGTTACGAGGGACGGACCGTCTACATATCTCAACGACCTTATAAGACCCAATAATTTATTTGTCTGATTTACCTTCTTCTCGCAATGGCCCTAGAACTTCAGCTCATTGTCAACATACACACCTAGGTCCTTCTCACACACAGTCTTAACTAGTGCAGTTTCTTCATCCTGTTGGGACATATAATACGCCTCCTTAACGTTGGTACGCCCCAGGTGCATCCTCTTACACTTTGTGACATTGAATCTTAGGAGCCATTTCTTCGACCATTCCTGCAGCCCACAGAGGTCCTTCTGCAGTTCTTCACAGCCCGCTTGGTTCTTAATTTCCCAAAATAACTTGGCGTCATCGGCAAACATTTGTATAGAGGAGTGTATAACGTCAGGCATGTCATTTATGAAACAAACTACAGATGACGATTTCGTACCATTAATCACCACACACTGCTTGCAGTAATGTAGAAAGTCTTCTATCCAGGCTAGGACATTTCCCCGAATTTCGTACCCTTCCAGTTTGATTTTCAGCATTTCGTGGAGTACACTGTCGAAAGCCTTGGCAAAATCTAGGTAAATATTGTCGATATTACCACTCCGTTCCTGAATATGGGTCCAAATATCCAATACTTTGAGCAATTGTGTTAAGCAGGAGCGCCCCGGCATAAAACCGTGTTGGCAATCTTTTATAAGGTTGTTTCGTATTAGATGTTCCATTGCGGCATCTCTGATAATACTCTCAAGTACTTTACATATTATGCTGGTCAGGCTCACCCCTCTATAGTTGTTCGTGGAGTGACGATTGCCCTACTTGAAGATAGGACTCACATAAGCCACTTTCCATTCACTGGGGACCTTTTGTTCATCCAGGCATTTACAAAACAGGATCTTCAGGGGCTCTGCAAGCTCGTTGCACAACTCTCTTAGCACTCTAGGATGCACCATGTCAGGTCCGGGACTCTTATGGACCTTTAGCCTGGACAGTTTATTTCTAATACCCTCTTCTGTGAACACAATGTGGGTCAGTGCTGTGTCAAACCGTCTGTCCTCAAACGCAGGAAGGTTAGTTGCATCCTCTCTTGTGAACACCGAGGAAAAGAAGCTGTTCAATGCCTCAGCTTTATCCTGGTCAGAATCTGCATAACTACCATCCACCAGCCTCAGGTCTGATACTCTTACTCGCGTTTTCAATTTCGACTTTGCATAGCGGTAAAACGCCTTTGGGTTTGACTTGACCTTGCTTGCAACCAGCCTCTGGAACTCCTTTTCATCCCTCCTACACTCTATCTTTGCTTGGTTTCTGGCTCTTGCATACATCCTCCTGTCTTGCTCATCGTTTGACCCAACCCATGTCTTGAATTTCTGGGTTTTCTTCTTAATTTTGTCGACCGCAGCATGGTTCATGTGTAGGGATCCCCTCGTATTCCTAGAAGCACTGGGTTTGGTCTTGGGTATATATTTATCGATCAAATGGGTCACTTTACTAGTTTTGATATTCAGCGTAGTGTCTGCGTTCTTGTACCTTAATAAGTCAGGCCAGTTGATACCCCTTATCTCTTCCCTCATCCCATTGTAATTTCCCTTGTAATATTTGCACCTTGGCCTGGCCTTATCTTGAACTAGGTAACAGTTAAATCTGAATGATAACACTATATGGTGACTGGTGCCAACTGGGGCAAGGTGTTCCAGTTTGGCCACCATACCCTCCTCATTTATTATGATGAGGTCTAGTGGTTTGGGTGTTTGCTCCCCTCTGTAATGTATCGGGTCTCTAACATGATGGAACAGAAAATTATCTCTCAGAGTTTCTACAAAAAGAGTAGCAGGGTTATTCAAGTCATTCGGGGTGGACTCGTTTCTCTAGTCGATGTCGCCATAGTTAAAGTCCCCCATGATAAGGAGGTGGCTAGGGTTTAGCATCGCCGCGTTGTTTATTAAGGTTCTTAAGTTCCTTTGATTTAGTGGGCCACAGTTTGGGAATCTGTAGATACACCCGACGATAAGTAAGTCCCCTCCCTTTAATTTAATTTTACACCACTTGGACTCTTCAAAAACATCCTCTCCCTGTACCATCGCCTGGCTGGCTCTAAGGTCTTGCCTAGCGTAGATAACCACACCCCTCTTGCAAGTTTCTTGAGAAAGGTTCATAAATGAGTCATATCCAGCAATACTGAACTCACATTCCTCTGGGTCGATTCTCCTGTTCTTGTACAACAGTTCTACAACACCTAAATTATCTGGTTGGTGTACTCTTAGTATTGTTTCAAACTCCTCTCTCTTATCAAGGAACGTGTCAGTATTAGTGTACATGACATTCAAGCCAGAATTTGTTCTCGGTAACGTCTCTGCTCTTAGTAATAAACCTGCTCCCTCCCCCCCCATTCTCAGAAGCTGCTGCATTAGCTAAGTACAATACACTGTATTTTGCAGGGCGTGGTTAGAAATGTCATTGTTTACATGGCGCTCGCTTCCTCCTGTCCAGTAGGCTAAGCTGGTGCCGCCTCCTGGGTGGGGGGTTGAGTGGGTGGAGGGTGCACTGCTGCCCCCTGGCCCTGTGTCGGCACACTTGTTTCCACTTCCCTCCCCCTGAGTATAACCCATGTACACCTGTCCCCATTCCTCCTCGACTCCTCCCTCTTCTGCTTCAAGTCCTGCAGGAGCTTCTTGTGCTGTTCCCTCTGCATTACCGTGCGATCTGGGTGAATGAATACATCCCGAAATGCCTCGCTCCTTGCTAAGTTTTTTGCCTGCCGAATAACTTGCCATTTCTCCTCCTCACTCACTAGTGTGATCCTGAGGGGGCGAGGCTTAGCCCCCTGCTTTTGTCCCAGCCTCCTTACATCCTGAGGGGTTGATGGAATCTTCAGAACCTCTGTCCAAATATTTTGAAACAGCACCTTATCGTGTGTTTCCTTACTCACAGTTCCCTCCGCCTGGCTCTCTGGGACTCCAAAAACTATTATACAGTACATTGTTCTTGCACTGGAGACATTCCTGGTGTTCCTCCTCTCCCCTAACGGTAGGTCTGTTAATTTTCATTTCTTCGACACACTTCTTCAAAGTCCCAAGCTGTTGTAGAACCTGTTCTGTTCCTGCATTACTCTCCGCCCCCTCCCGTGGCCCTGCTAATACGTCAGCATAACTCCTCTTAGCAATCACCTCCATTCTATCGGCTACTTCCTCAGTCTTAGCAAGGATCTCTTTCCCAACTTGCTCCAGTTTGGCAACCAGCAAGGCTCTAGCGTCATCTATTTTCGTCCCTAGGGAACTCGTTCTCCTTTGGCTTGCAATCGCCTCTTTCACCTTGACTATGCAGTCAAGGCAATACCAGCAACAGCCTTCATGCTTTACAGCAGCTTGCATCGTCCTAAATGTTGCATTAGTCAGGCCTGTATCCTTCATATGCGACGTCTCCCTGCAGTATTCACATATCAAACTCATGGTTGTTGTTGTTGTGTGGGGGGTGCAGACTGTGTATAGATCTACACCTATTTAAAAAAAGTAAAGAGAGAAAAAGAACAGTACTTAGCTACTCTCTGTTGCCTATAGAGTTGTCGTCTGTGACTGCGTACACTGTATCTCCCTGTGAATGGTGTATTGTAGGCACAGTTTCAGTCCTTGAGAAAGCACACAAACAAAATAACATTTAAAGTCTCTGTGGCACCTATGACACGACTTGGTTTCAGCTGGCACGGTGCCTTTCCAGCTTGCTTGCTAGTTAGCGCTCACTTTAAGTTATTTACAACTTCCGCGGTCACTGATGACACTATGAACTATCACTGTATACACTGTATCTCCCTGTGAGTGGTGTATTATAAACTCAAGTAGAGTCCTAGCAAAGAAACACACCAGAAATATTACAGAGTAAAACTCCCCAAAATATTAAACAATAATAAACTCAGTAACCAAAATTTCTTCCACTTATAAATCACCACGACAAAAAACAGGAAAGAACACCACCAAAATTTGGGAACGAAGCTTACCTGTGCTGTCAGTGACTGATGGGCATGAAGTGATCTTTCAGGCACTTCCCTTCACCAAACAAACCTTGTAAGGAGGACTCAAAACAGCAAGACAAAGGATAACACTGTTGGGTAGTTTAATTTTCACTCAACAGGTAGTGCTGTTAGATGACCTCACAAAGCATGTTACAAGGATAACTAAACAAGAAAAATTTAACTATTCAAAATGTTTAAATTCTAGGAAAAAACTGTAGTTGCTTCACTTAGGATTACAGCACATTTTTCAGGTCATTTCCTAATGTCGTGCCTTAATGTGTCGTAGCTTAGAACTTCTTTGATTTTAAGTTCAAATTAAGAAAGACCTGGTATGTATAGGGAATAATTGTAGACATACTGAACAGATGTGTAATGATCATGGTAGTACTGTATTGATATTTGATTATTATTCTCTCAATCTCCAGGTTCCAAACTATGGCCTGGCTCTGGCTATTGCTCATGAGTGGGTAGCAGTGAAGGAGAAAATACACCCGAGTTTCATGCATTTGGTGAGTTAATTATTGTACCTGACTCATTGCAATTAACCTGGAACTGACTGAATAGATTTTTATGAATTTTAAGGCGTTCGTATTAATTAAGCGTATCTAATTTTGTCACAGTAATTTAGGTATTTTTTAAGTTTTTGTGAATGATAGGGTATATAACTTATTGTTGGGTCGTGGTACAGTATACTATCTCTCTTGCTGTCACTGATGATATGTACAGTGCAAAATTTATGTTATATAGTATACAGTATAATGTACAGTAATAACTTTGGTATTTATCTATATTTGTCTACACACACAGGCATGTACTCAAACATATACACTCACGTTTTCACTCATTCATCGTATACTGTATTGGCTTATGTGTGTTAGTTGATTTGTTTTATATTGCTTCTTTTTCGTTATTAGTTTTTTGTTCTATTTAAAAAGATGACATTAGACTGTACAGACCATTTGCAAGGTACCATGTGAGCCACCTTCTATTTATCATGGTGTTGGAGGCAATATCAGAGGACTTTAGGACTGGCCTGCCCTGCCCTGGGAGTTGTTGTATGCTGATGACTTGGTGCATATATCAGTAGTAATGAAGAGGCGGTGGAGAAATTTAAGAAATAGTAGGGTGAAATGGAGGCAAAGGGCCGGAGAGTAAATGTGGCAAAAACAAATGTACTGTATTGATTAGTAGTGTGAGTGAGGAACCCATGGTGAAAAGTGTAAAGTAGCCATGAGCTGTCTGCAAGAAAGATGTTGGCATCAAGTCATTACTGTGCAACAAGTATGGAAGGTGGGTACACAAGAGGTGCCGAGGAGTTGATGGCAGACTGCGGGATGTTATTGACATTAAGTATTCTGTATATGCAGGTAACTAAGTGCCCACAGCAAGACTGGAGAAATTCAGCATTACGGATAATGTGTCCCAGAACTGTGTTGATGAGTTCTGTAACCTGGATGTAATGATCAGTGCAAATGGATTCAAACCTTTATATACAGTATACTGTATAGACTTTGAGAGTCAGTATAAGCTTGCAGGAGAAATGAAACCATTCACTTCATCCTTCATCATAAGATTTAGCATATATGATTATGTTGTATGTTTCTTTAGTGTTTTATTTCATCTTTACAGACTGGCCTGGCTAATACTGTCATAGACAATCCAAGTTATCAAACCAAATGGGATGTTATCAATAAAACTTTGGATTACATGGATACTGACACGGTGCTATTCCGAGATGACGTAAGTGGTGGATTAGTGTACAGTAATTTTATATTTTTCCCTCTGTCATTATGTGTAGTTCAGGGGGTTCATTTGTTTATGATGCTTCTTGTTTATCCAGTAACTTTACCATATGACTGGATATGAAACAAATTGGCCAAGACTTGCTTTATCCTGAAGTCCTTCCGTGGCTTGATGGTTCATGTAGGGATAACTTGTATGTATTTATTCATTAACCAATTGTTTCTTTGGTGTCTAGGTTAAGGTACTGTACTGTATTATTATATTTGGAGACTTACTTAACCTGTAGGCCTACTGTTGCCTTATAGATGGTTTAGGTTTCAGTGTTGTCTACCTTAATATTCTTCATTCTTAAACAACCATTCCACGTGTTGCCATTGCAAGTTCCGTTTCTTCTTCACTCCCAGTCCAAAGTGGTTTTGTTCTCTGTTGGATTTTGTTCAACATGGGACATAGACTGAAAGTATAATATTGTTTCATACATACCTGAGTGATATTGATTTTTCCACTCAGTAGGGAACAAAAATCTTTCATATGTATACAGTATAAAGATATTTTGTTGTTATTAGTAACTGTTTGGATATTGCTACATGTTAACCTCCTTTTCCTGTTAGTTTTTACTTATGATTTTCACCTGTTCTTGGAGATTTCTGGCTCTTGATCCTTCTTTCTCAAAATTGGAAGAGGAGTCAAGATGATACATAGATAAAAGGGAAGTTAGAAATTATTATGCTTTCAGACTACTTAATTCTTGCAAGTTTAGGTTGTGTTGTTGATCATAATATCTTCTTATTAACACTGATATCCCTCAGCGGTCAGATGAATTCATTCAGCTTCAAGCAAAGGAGTGGGACCCAGTTCTGGATTGGTTTAATACAAAATTTGAGGTAAACTTAAAGCCTTGTGGGGGACTCTTAGGGGCTAACATACCTCCACCAGCTCGTGAGGCCATCAGACGTTACCTCCTCTCCTATAATATGTGGGCAGCTAACGGTAAGTACACTTCCTTAAGTAGAAAATAACAGAACAATAGTTAGAATGCTTGATAGGAGCGTCTGTGTCTTTATTCTAGCCACTGTTTATTTTAGTGGTAAAAAGCTTCAGAGAAAACAGAAAAGAAAAAGCAGCCGTATGTTTATTTCATTTGCCGAACAGTAACTTCAACCTAGTAAATTGAATATATAAATTAGAATGTGAATTTTTACCCCTTTTTGGACAAATCCTGCAACAGATGCAGTCAGAATTATCAAAATTTTACAGCTCCATCTACAAATGGTTTTAGGAATATTTAGATATGTATCAGGTACAAATGTTTAGTGTTTAAAAATATTCTAGGAGGATTTGTGGTAATAGACGAGGGTTATTTGGCAGATTTTGTTTTGTACCTACAGTATTTATAAAGTAAGATTGGGTTTGTAAAGAAACTATTTCTTGTTAATAGAATTGAATATTACTGTATTAAACTTTTTATACACCTCCTAGTTATCTACTTATTTTTGCTTTATGTTTGCTTTCAAAGATTCAGGGAGAAATTTTACATTCAAACTGGAATGATTAGAGTCCTCTATTTGCTGCCTCTGAAAATATTTGAATTACTTATTTTTAAATACTAATAATCTGCCAAGCCGGAAAAGGGGCAGGGTTATGTACCCTCTGTAGTCAAAGAGTTAAAAACTAGATTGGTTCCATGATTGTTAATAAATTTTGCATTCCTTACCACTTAAAAGATGAAAGTTTACACATGTACAGTGATTAGAAGTGTTCAAAATGATACACTCTTGTTTTGACAGGTTTTCTTTATGGTGTCGAAGCGGTCAAGTCGGTTATCCTGACAATTGCGGCTGCAGAGCGAAAAATTTCCGCAGAAAGGGCAGTTACTCTCTCAAGATTAGAAACAAATTATCAGGTGAGATAATTTTGAAAAGTTCACAAGTAAAATTTATGTTCTGAAATTGAGATCCTGGGTGATGGACTAGTATAATTTTGTAACTATTGTTGCTGTGTTTTGTACACATCTCTGTTTGCATCTTTATTGGTGTGTGCACATCATCTTCAAGCTAGTAAATAAAGGATTTTTTTAGTCAGCCATGTACCTTAAAATAGCTTTGTATACTTTATTAATGATTAAATTGTGTTTCCCTGCATGTAAAGGGAAAAGTGATGAGAAAAAATGCAGAAATCAGAGTGAAATAAGTACTGCACGTTTAGTGTACAGTACTGGGGAAAGTTTATAGTAAACTTATTTTGAGAATTATGGGAAAAACATGAATGCATCAATGTGGGTTCAATACATAACAACTGAGAGTGTATTAAGTGTTTGCAATGCTATAAAAAGTATGAGTGATAAGTACCTAGAGAAAGATTTATTGAGGGCAGACTGTGGGATGTTGCTGACTTTAAGTGTGTTCTGTATGTGCAGGTAACCAAGCTTCTACTTTTATTGTTGGTAATGGGACCTTCTCTCCAAGTGAAAGAATGCATGTGGCTGGTGTGAGAAGTGTGATGTTGTATGGCAGTGAAACAAAAGAAGTTTAAAGCAGATGTCATAAGTAGACCTGAGCAAGCTGAAATGAGAATGGTAGCAGTAAAGTGGATGTGTAATGTGACACTGAAAGACAGGGCAGGAGGGTGTTGAGAATATTAAGAGTATTGGTGACATTCTGTGTAGAGGCAAGCTGAGATGGTATGGGCATGTGGAGAGAATGGATGTGACCAATTGGATCAAGAGGTACATGAGCCTAAATGTGGAGGGGTAGGCCAAGAATCACTTGAGGAGAGGTTGTAAGAAATGACATTAGAGTTAAGAAACTGACAAGAGACCATCAGGTAACTGTAGCTAACCCTAACGTATGTGGAAAATGCTGATGATATATAGATCTAGAGAAAGCTTATGATAAAATTTATAGAACAATGGTATTGGAAGTGTTCGAGAAATTGTTTAATGCCTTCCAACTTTTTTTATAACATCATGCATGAACAACAACCATTCACAGTTTCTTCTTACTCATTTATAGCCTTGAGGACATTTAGCTTTCTGATTATGACAGAGATTTGTTTATGTGCAAAAGATGTCTTATACTTTAATTTTCTTTCAGACATCACATTGGGGAGCCGTAGAATGGGCTCATGATTTGGAGAAGTACGACCTTGAGTCCAGATTTTCTGCTGCTTTACTCTTCATACACTTCAATACTTGGCAAACTACTGTTAAACAGAAAGCCAAGCAGTGACATCGTCAAGATCTAGTTTGATGTGTTTATACTTCGTAGAATTGAAATGTAAGTGCATAACACATTTTGTCAATACTAGTCTGTTCGCTTGCAGCTGAGGCCTAGGGTCAGTTTGCATCAAGGCATCTGATTGATTAGCAGACAGACACCTGAAGAATCACTTCAGTTCTTGATTATTTAATACATCATATTTATGTTATGATATTTTATGGGATGATCATTTTCTCTGTTGATCTCTAATAATTTCCACACTTGGGGAAGCAAAAATTACTGTGTGAAATGCTCTGGTAACAAAAATCTTGATGAGAATAAGAGAAGAGTACAAAATTTCAGTAACCTCCTTCACCCTGCCAAGCACTTGGCTGCCTTGCTACTAACTGACCCTAGGCCTCCATTGCCAGTGAATAGACTATACCTGCATATATATTAATTTTACTTTAGTTATGAAGTGTTGTGTGTGAATACTGTATATGTATTGATGTGTTTTAATAATGTGGTTGTTATTGTTTGGGTATTTATATAAAAGAAAACTTTTCAGGTTTTTTTTTTTGACCCATTAAAGGAATTGAGAGAGAAATATTTTGCAGAATCAATGCATAATGAAGGACACTTACTTATAACCTGCACAATGACTAAGTCAGACAAATGTGGAGCACATTGCACTATGGCTGCACAATGTTACCTCTTAACACTGTAAATCATCATGCTTAAGGGTTCGAGTCATTGTACTGTACTTGAAAATGTCATAATTGTACTCAAGGGGTTAACCTTCAGTGATATCTATGATTATTAGTCTCCATTTTTTGGTGATAGTTCTGACAGTAGCTGATCTTTGAATTAGATCCCATAATCTTAGATTACAGTTCCTTGATTCCTAACCCAGAGGCTTTGGGAGCATTATACATTAGTCACTCCAAACAGGCATGATTATAAATATCTAGACATTCCTTATTTGTTAGCTTTAGGCCTTATTTAATGACTGTCCAATTTATTTTATTTTACAATAATCAATTATTAAACATATACCGGTAATGAAGAGTAATATTTACAAAAGCCAGTACAAATCAGACAGATAATGCCAAGGCAGTTTGCTAGCAACTATTCTTGGAGGATATGTTTCTGTGATTAACCTTTGGTAACAGTTTACTTACATTTATTCAATACATATATTGAATGAAATCTGCTCATCTGTTAATATAAATTCATCATTATACAGTATTGGTCAAAAAGTAATTACTGTAGTCCCGCTGATGACCTTTGAAATAATTTCACCAACCAGTCATTATTCACTTAAATTTTTTATTGGTATACAGTACAGTATATACATTAGGAATAGTAATAATAAAACAGCAAAGATGATATTGATTGAAAATATAATTATTAATTCAAATTCAGTAACATATAGTATGTGAATAGCTCTTATAGTTTAATATATAATTTAAGTTAAGTTATACAATAAGTCTGATACAATCAAATAGGCCTCACATATTTGACTCTATAGATCATATGCACCGGATCCAAAATATTCAATATAAACTATTGCACAGGACTGAACACAATATATTTGCACACTAAAAATTATAAAATTGGCATTGTAATTAACCAATTAACTGGCACCAAAAATCACAATAACTTAAAAATTATATTACTGAAGATTCATGCATGCAAACAGAAACAATAAACCCCAATGACTTCAGATTTGATGGGGACATCTTTAGAAAGTATAAACTGAACATTCACTAATTTTCTGGTCTTGTCAACTCATTTTAGCGATGCTGCAACATTAGGGCATAAGTGGGACAAAACCTCATGGTGCTGTTGCAGCATTTAATGAGGTTTTGCCCCACTTATGTCCTATATGTTGCAGCATTACTAAAATGAATCGACATTCTTGGGATGAATATACATGACAATCCCTCAACCAGTTTTTTAAGTCACAAACAGCACCACACTGCAGTGCTCAACAGGGAGGTGTGGCAGTAAAATTAACTTAGAATATTGGAATTACTGTAGTTCATTTTACCACCACACTTCCCTGTTCTTCGTGACTCAGTTTTTGTTTTTTAAACTATGGTTGTAAACATGACAATCCCCCATCAACGGAAGAGGGGTGATTAAAAGTCCAGACATTAGGGTCTTCCATAAGCGATGTCTTCACGGACTACTGTATAGTCTGTTCATTTGAACTTTGCAACCGAAGCCTACAGTCAGTTTGTAGCAAGTTGTAGTGACCAGCCAATCAGCTGCCTTGCTACAAACTGACCCTAGGCTTCAGTTGCGATTGCAAACACTTATTAATAATTTCATAAACAATTTATTATTAACAAGCTAAGATTACATTGTTACACTTTGGATGGTGAATATCCCTTTTTTTTTCTAAATCATGTAATACCAACCCAATGACATACAAATCATCATTAACTAATCACTTGTGAACTGATTTAACATTAGCACAATAGGGTATTGATACCATCATCTGCCAATGAAGATATATGACTACGTACTTACAATTCTGAGTTCTAAATTTTGCAACTCGGAATTATTTAATACTGCACATTCTAATAAAATGCAGTAGTCATAAAATATTTGAATGGATACAAATCTAGACTCTGGTGGTTTTGTTTAATTCTTCATTATTAATGAATATTTGATTTGGGAAGGACTGGCATAGAATAAAAAAGAAGTTACATGGACATTATGATACAAAATAGGTACAGGGTACTTGTAATTAACTTGACAGCGACCATAGTAAGGTAGAGGTACATATCTTATGAATCAAAACATTTTTAAATTTAGCTGTAATTATAACCTGTCCTATAAAAATCATCACATGTCATACTTCATCCAGTTACCTAAAGCCATGGGGAACGTTAATCCTTAATTTGTTATTTCATCAATCTGTATTCATTATAAAACACTAGTAGCATCACTGTCACACAAAGCAATGCTACATTTTATGTAACCTTTATCAATATAAGAACATTAATAAAAAAAATATATAAATACCTATCTAAAATTCTTGCTCAATCTAAGTAAATAAATACTGTGTGTATGTCAATGAAATAAGAAAAAATCATTAAAACAACAACAGTACTGTGTACATACAGTAGCTATCTTTGTTAATTCTGAGTGTTCCTAATACTGTACAGACTAAAAAAAAAAAATACACCCTGTATATATTTAAAAAAATTGGTAATGAAAGCAGTAGCAGTGAATATATTTTTTTTAATTCCTGCCACAATACTGCAGTAACCCTGCCTCTATATCTAAAACAATTCATGAGGATTAACAAGCTAATATACAGTAAAGCACGGGTTCTAAATTAGGGGTAAATCACTCGTGAGGGGTAATTTGACATTTTTTTTTTTGAGGGGGTAATGCAGTTGAATACAGTGTACATGATTATATACAGTATATATATATATATATATATATATATATATATATATATATATATATATAACAAAAATCCAATCTAAACTGTACACCAAATTTGTGCATATATGGTTCCTAGTTTATTTCGGGGTAACAGCCAAAACTAATAGAGAACCCCTGGTATAAAGAAACTAAAAAGATGAGAATCTCTAACTACTCACTAACTTAACTGTGGTGTCATTCCTAGCTGAAAAAGGACCTGAGGTAACTGACAGTGTATAATCTCTAAATCTTGTGCATAAACTTATGTCTCTGAACTACTGCACCTATATCAATAGAAAATATTAAGTTAATATAAGACAACCCTTTGCATACTGACATGGATAATAATTTGTTAAAACTATTACAAGAATGTTTGTATGTAATCGTTAATGTATCACTAGTTTCTCTGGTGTCTTAGCCTTACAGTACAGTGCAAACTATGTACCATATATACATAGAATGTGTACAAAGGTAAAATCATTCTATAACTGTACATTACAGTTCAGTGGTTTCATAAAATTTATAATCCAAAGATTAAACAGGAAACACAAAACTAAAGGTATATAACAAAATTAAATGCAAGCAAAAAATCTTTAACATATTATACGGTAGTGAAGGATTTTTTAACTCTATATTTCCTTGAAATTTCCTTTTTAGGTCTCTTATAGTACAGGGTTTTCAATATGCATTTCCTTGATATTTTCCTTAGTACATCTCTCCCAAAACATTGGTTGTATCCATGATACAAAACTCATCCTACAGTTTTTTTAAGATAATCAACCTACAAATGCATCTCTTAGTTTTAAGACTACAGTACTTATCAAAGGAGAATATAAAAGAGACATCTTCATGCAAACCATATTCCTAGTATCACGTCAACAGAATATTCCTCCATAAAAATATATCTATACATTCAGCCTTTATTAACCAAGTCAAAAGTATTACTTATGTTACATGGCCTTACACCTCTCATTATTGTTAAGGATGGATTAGACGAGAAAGACAAAAAACCAAAATAATAAATATTCATGCTTTCAAAGTCTTAACAATAGTAAAGTGCAGTATATACCACTACTGCATATATTTTAATACTTTAGAAAGTGGAAGAAGTCTGCTCACTACTTTGTTTACTGACTACTTCGTGATATTCATAAAACTAATTGATATGAGACACCTTTACTACAATGTATTTTCATAGCTACTTAATAAGATTTCATTGTGTTAATAACATAATGTTATCTCACCATTCAGCTAACAGTGCAGTCCATGTCTCCATCTTGTGGGAAACAATTAAGAGTAGAAGTAACTGCTCGGATCATGTATGACATAGTGCCATAGCTTCCTGATGGTGCACTGTCATAGAAATGTAGACAGATATAAGCAGCACCACCGCATGCTAGTCCACCCCCAACTCCTGGCTCACGTTTATCACGGGCACAACACAAAGTTGCATCGCCATCTTGCTGTTTCTGCAAGTAGTACGAGGTAGCATTAGTGTTATATACCTGCATACTTTAACATTGCATATACTGTAATAATATCCTCTTTGTATTACTTTACAGTACTTGCATTTAAAAATTTCCAAGACAAATAATTTACCTCTGGAAATAAAAATGGGTACAGTAATGAATGGAATAGAAGCAATTCTCTTAATTCTTTTAAAAATAAAAGCAGTATTTGTTTCTGTTCTTCATATATGAGGTTCATACCTGATATGGAATTGAAATTTTTTTTGCAGAAACTAATCACTTATATGAATGACCATTAAAAAAAATATATATATATATATATATATATATATATATATATATATATATATATATATATATATATATATATATATATATATATATATATATATATATATACAGTATTTTTTTTTTTTTTTTAAAACCAGCCAAAATTGTTTTAATTTACTGTACAGAGCATACTACCTGATCTGTGAGGAAAATGTTATTAGCCACATGAACTATGTCCTGAGCCGACACAATATCACCAAGAGAGTCTGTTTTGTGATATTCTTGGACAAGTGACAGAACCATCAAAGCCTGAAAAAGAAAGATAAGGTTTTTCAGTGAATTATAAGCCACATTCATAATTTAAAAATCTAATTTATTTCAGAACCATAAGTACAAGTATAGATAAAGCAATGGAGTAAGGTACTAAACAGTGTTGTCAAAGTGATTAACAGTAAGGTAGTGTTTTGACCTAAATATGAAAGTAATTATATCTAAAAACTATTTAATCTTGTCATTAGCAAATGTAAGTGATATCTCCATTCGCCAGAGTAATTGGTGCAGTGCACTTCCGGGAATGAGAGATTTCCGGGTAACAAGGCGACTCTCTCAAAGCCGGAAAAAATACCTCATCCCTGGAATTTTCCGGGTAACGGAAAAATTTTCTCGGGAGTTCCAGAAATTGCCCATTACATCACCTCTCGAACCAAGAAAGAACTCCCCCCATCCCCGGAATTTTCAAGGTTTGAGGGATTCCAGCTAACGGAGATATTACTACACTGCTGAGGGCAATGATTTGAGTGTTGCATCATTTTAAATAAGCAACAAAAAGTTGAATGAGAAATTACAACAAAGAGTAACACTTACCTGATAAAATGTTGAGTAAAAATCTTATACCCTGTACTGTATAATTAAATGTAGGAAATCCCAATACTCCAATGCATACAATGTTCTGTCCATCAGGAAAAACATTATTTTCTGATACAAAGACAAAAAAATCTGAGTAGTGATTGAAGGGCATTGGGGAAAAAATAATCAAATAAAAATTATACTAACCTCAACAACCAGTTGCCTATATTCTGGTTGAGGAATGGTATTTAGGACAGTTTCCACCTCAAGTGCAAATTTCAGTTCACCTGCTGTCATCTGCAAACAAAAATTTTACACTTCAAAATAAAAACCACAGAACTATTATTTTAATATGGACTAGCTTTCAGGCATTGCAAAAGGGCTATGGATATTGCTAAAAAAGCTAGTTCAATTCCAAGTTCATAAGAGATGTAATAGTTTATACGTATAGCTATCTATTTAAAATGGATGGTTACATGAATATTGATAAACCCATACCAAATGGAAGGATTTTTTTTTCTTTAGGTATGGGGAAAGTTGTGATAGTGGATTACTTGATAGAGTTTGATGCAGGAAGAGACAGAAAGTGGGGTGAGATGATTACCAAGAAGAAAAGACGGTACTAAGATATCATTTAAGTGTACTGAGCTCTATTAAAATTGACTTGCAATTTTTTATTTTTTTTTATTTACAGATCACAATATGTCTAAAGACAAGACACACACACATCTGGTTACTGTTAAGAACATTGTACAGTGTCATCATTTCAAAGTAAGACAAACATGAAATATATTTGAGCTACTACATGACTAAACTGCTGGCCTGACTGAAATATCACCACCACCCTTTTATGGTAATTTTCCACACTCATGTGGGTTAGATTGGCCTTGTTTACCTGAATAACATGTAGGAACTTACCTCCTGAGTAAGACTCTGTGGGATTACTTTGCCCTCTATGTTGATTCCTCGGCACTGTAAATAAGTTGGTCTTATTCAGTACACTAGTACAGTATATAATTATAATTATGTAAAACCATACCATTGCCATACAGTACTTAATTTTAGTACAGTACATACAATGGAGTTTTTTCACTAAATTTTATATCTTCATGAATTAATAAAGTAAAACTGAATGATTAATCCTGAAATACAGTACCTATAATCTTTTATGACTGAACCAGTACAAAGTGACTCCTGAATTATCACATCAAATCCATAGAGTTAGAACTTATAACAAACTTAGACATGAGTGGCTGGGGCAAATTCATCATTTAATTAACGTACACTTTCCCATCACAACCATATCCCTAAAAGAGGTTTAAAAATGAATTGCCATACCGGGTAGGTAGAATGCAGAAGATGCATCACATTGGTACTGCATATGCACCTTGCCTGTCAAATGGGTTGGCCAAATTAGATTCCATACCTTTTCCTCCTAATTATCTGGAGGCCATGGGTGAGGACTGCCAGTGTTGGGACCCCAGCAAAGAATCCTAGATCTAGAACTTTGGTTAGTGTGATGTATTGACCCACAGTTCTAATGATCCCTGTTTGGGACTTGGTTGTGTTGGGAAACCATAATTAATTCATGAATTACCCCCTGCCACTAATGTATAAGGGCTGCCAGAGTTAGTCATCTCATGTCATGAACTTAGTACAGTACAACTGTAAATGTTGCCTTGGGGTGTCGTCATAAAAAATATACAAATATGACTGGATGATACATGAATAAATTATGCATTATCTATAAAGATCATATTAAACTAATCAATACAAACCTTCTCCAGAACTTTCCATATACGTGGATAAAAGTTGCGTGGAACACGATTGAGAGCACCATCCAACCTGCGACGCCTTAGCCACTGACCGTAACGATCACCTTCACTGTCATCAGACTTTCCTTCTGTCATTGATGAACCCAAGAAACTACCTATTGCACTTTTCTAGAATTCAAAAGAAACATATGAGGAGCCGTTACTAAATTATTTTTATTAAACTTAGATAAACTTTTATTAGCCATTTTACACGGATATCAATAGCACTGTAGTACTACCATCATGCTTTTCACTCTTTTTCTAAAAACTAATATTATTTATAAACAAAACGGGTGTTTATGTATACACCAAAGGTGTAGTATTGTACCTACCTGATTGGTCACCTTAAAATTATTATTTTAAGTATTCAATTGGGTCAATTGGATAGCTTATGAAATTATGAAGGTTTCAGAGTACTCACCAGAACCATATGATGATGTAGAAAACGAGCTTCACCAATAGTCCACCACCCACTGCACAACAGTGACCATATTACCCTATATAACCTAATCTCAGAACAGCATAGACTGAGGCTTTACTGACTACCATAAACCCTTTTTGAACATGTAATTCCTTACTTTATCCCTATCTTACTTAAGACTGTTTTAATTATGTTACTCATTGCTTTAGTCACTCACGTTTACAGTTTAAAACACTCATTCATACCCTTTTAATCACTGACTTCTACTGTTTTAGTCACTCTTCACAATCACTTAAAGTACTTCCATCAGGTGTTGCTTTTGACAAAGTCAAATCTCCTCTTAAATTCTTTCTCCCAACTCCACACAATACAAACAAACTACAGTGACAAACTCCCATGAATGAGACCCAAACTGGTAAGGTTCATCAGTTGTGTATAAAGAACTTATTTAAGGGATGGTTAGTAAGATATGCTACAAACTTTGTAGTTTTGACAGCAATTATTTTGATAACTTCTTGCACAGATGTTTTGGTTGTGCTTACCCATCACTAATTCACTGCAGTCACCACCTGGGCTAAAGCATTTGTTCCAAAGGTGGTTTTTTCCATGCCAGCTTCAAAGAAATCCAGGTAACTATTTTCTGGAATTCTGTGAATCTACTGGTGGAATTTTATAGCATGGGCAACTGTTGATGCAGTTGCATACTGTGCAACACAGAGTAATTGCAACCATCAGTTGAAAGTCTTGCTTTTAGGCCCAAAGCTAAATAACAAATATCAACTCATTTGGAAAAGCAAGGATGTTTCTAACTGGTCCTATTTGTTGTGGAATGTCCCTTTGTCAGTAAAAACATTACTGGATAATAGTGATGCATGCAAGTCCCATCCTTCAGGATACATATTACTTTCTTGAAAATTAGTTGGATCAATGTAGCAATTAAAATTTTCAGTGCCAATCCATCTACAGCATTATATTTACAGTACTCATCTTCCTCTTTGAATGGGAGGGGTCAAGGGAGACAATCTTTTCAAAGGAAAAGGATGGGAAATATTAAGGAAGAATGATGCAAGAAAGTTGTAGAAAGCAACTGAAAGATTTGAACCATTTTGTGGAGATACAGTATATCCAAACACACACACATACACACATCCTCATACTGTATCTTCAATTTACATTCACAAGATACATCATCAATCTTTAACCACCTGGATATATTTAGAAAAAACACTATGATGCAACCAGCCAGTCAGTTATTTAAATAAAATAAAATCCTGAGAGAGTAAGAGGTAAGAGCACAGGCTATTTGGAGATGGGGATTATGACAATTAAAAACTTTACTCGGAGATACCTATAACATTCATAGCAATTTATATCATGAATCCAAAACAGCTGAATATAAACCTGAAATTTCCAACCCTAAATCCTTGGTAGTAAGGGTCAACTAAATTGACAAAGCAAAAACACAATACTGTACAAAATAAGCATAAACTTTGAATTTAAATGATCACAGTAAAAATTCAATGGATTCATTCAGATAAGAAGCACATGCTGTATGTGTAGCAGCTGAATTACTATTTAATTAGGCAATCTCTGGAGATCATTCCAGGATAATTATATAAGTACTGTAGTGGTGCATGGTACTGTACAGTACTGTACATAGAAAAGTGTTGATTGATAATCATTATAATGCTGGTGGATTCAACTGGCAATATTATTCCATTACTGGTGGAACATACAGTACTCTTAAGAGTAGGAGAAATGATGATAAAAAAAATGATCTACAAAATATAGAAGATATTTCAAGTGGATAGTCGTGTATGGTAATTATACCAGGTGTGTGGGATTATGGTAACTGCTGATTACTGCAAGCAAATATCAAAACAATGCAAAATTTATTATACATTTCTGTGATTTACTGAAAAAAGTGAGACATGCAGTTTATAGAGGAAAATGTGAATAATTTATTCTTTTATACTCCTAATGCAAGAGGAGTTGATATATATTGTATACATTACTTCAAATTAATTCTGGTTTTAGAAAAAGGGAAATGTTACACATATTTAAAGCTTATGATAACAAAAACAGCCAACTAAAACAGTAGCAAATGATTAAAGCAGATTTAAAGGGGAAAATAAAGGTGTGTATTTATGGACAATACAATATCAGGTAACTAAAATCAAGCACTGCACATGACCTCCTTATCTCACCTTCTCAGCATGCAACCCTCCCTGCCAAAGTAAAAGGGGATGAGAAGAGCATTAGTTAACTAGCTACCAGGGAAGACCTTCCTTTGTCAAATACTGTACAATGTCCTATTAGCTATTAGCAAATGTAATACAAATACAAATCAGCATATACAGTATCTACATTAATTATGCAAAGTCCCTCTTAAGCTTTATCTGCAGCAGCTGCCTATATCTCACAACCAATTTTGAGAAAATCTTTACAAATAATTTACAAAAATATCATAAAGTAAAATTTGGTTCAAAATTTTTTAAGAATTTTTTTTTAACTCATGAACGTTAACCTATAGGTACACATGTTTAATGAATCCTAAAAAAAATATCTTCATACTGTTTTCTCGTGAGAAGTAGTGTCTTTTTTAGGGTTAACGGACAACTCATTGATTCATTAAGCTCCAACCACTTCTCTGCACTTAGCCTGAATACATTATATGATTGGTTGTCAGGTTTATCAGGGCAACACATTAATGAATCACCAGTCCAATTTTTTTCCTTACCACATTAATAAATTTTCAGTCAGATTTTTCTTATCGTTTTTAATTGAGGTTAACATTTATGTAACATTTCTGACCCTAATTTACTTGAGTTACAGGCAAAGACATAATCAAACTGGTAAGGTAACTGTGATGGTGCATGACTGGTAATGTAAACAGTTTGGTGTTAGTTAGAAGTGGGGGTAGTCTGTTAATAAGTCAGCTAGCCAATACAGTGATCATGACGGACAGATTCTTCCCCTATACATTGACTGCACATTAACACAACAACAAGTCCATTTATTAAAACACATATCACTGTTTACAATAATTACACACCACAACACTACACAAAACAGGTAACTACACGTACTTTGACAACTCCTCAACACATTACCAAATTTGTATAATATGAACTTTTACCTTGTGTTTTTGATATACCTGAGTTATAAGTTATTAATATATACTGTACTACAAAACACTACATAAACTCAATGTCACACAAAAATTAAGTGAATAACCAACTTATTCTGATAAAGCTTAAATAAATTTCCTAGGCAGTTTTAATATGAAATTCCCTACAATTTGACGCATTGAACAGGATGACGTAGTGCCACATACTTTGATACTTCAGAAAAAGAAAACTGAAATCAGTGAAAAGTAAAGTATATTTTGTTGGGTACAATCACTGAGGTCTGGAAGTTAACAGTAATTGGTGCCTGGGTACCTTGTGTACCAACCAACCAACCTTACTTAGCTTAACCAACCAACTACACACACACAAAATGCATCTCAAAATCAAAGTTATTCATGTGTATGTATTTCCTCATTCAAAGATGCACTTCACCAAGATAAGTGCAAAAGCCTCAACTAAAATGAGACAATGTAGTATTACTGTACGTACATACAAATCATATCATCCTTGAGTCTTTTCACTGTATTAACAAATCTGCTGCTACGAATTTTCTTTCTCGACCCTGTAGTTTAAAAAGTTGAAGTTTAACAATGCAAAAAAATGCTGATTTAATTTCTGCCATCTACACCAATGGTTTTAGTTTTAAAAGAGTGTGTGTGTGTGTGTGTTCAAATGGGCACCCAGATGAAGAAATTACTGTTGACCTCTAGCCTCAACATGTACACACACTATAGTTGAAAGTTAGAGGCATGAATATATTCAAATAACAAAAATAACTTTCTAAGAAATATACTATATGAAAACTTATAGTCTGAGAGCTCTGTAAATTTAGGAAATATATGACAAACTGCCAAATGAGCTACAGTGTGAAATACAGCCAAGGTAAACTACCACTACACTGACAGACAAAACCCTAATTTCTAGTAGTCTTGCTTCTTCTATGGCAGACCAAGGCTAACTTACAGCATGCAATAACCCATCACAACAACTGAATACCTACTAGCATGTAGGATATGAACATTTTTACTTGATGCCCGCTACAACTGGCACATACTGAAGTTTATTGCAAATCAATAAAACAAAACATTGATTACATTAATTTATAAGATTTTTAATACAGTACACAGATGCTATCACCTGTAATTCCATTGAGTCTGATTTATAACATAAAACAGTACTTTCATATAATTACATTAAAGGTTTAGTTAGATAATTCTTACCTTGCTGAGCTTGCTGGAGCGACTGCTGATGAAGAACGTCCCACTGCGAGCTGAAGAATACAGACATGGTGTTAAAAGTCACTGAAACACTTTTTATGTACAGCAAAAAATCATAACAGTACAGCAATTTAAAAAACAAAAACAAGAAAAAGATAAAAAATATTAAACCACAACAGTTTTACAGAGATACTGTACGGGAATTTTTGTCTTTTATAGTACAGGTGCTCCTCTACTTAAGAACATTCAACTTACAAACTTTCAGAGATACAAACATCATCACCTGCCAGAACAGGTGTTTAATGTGGATGAGACTGGATTATTTTGAAAAAATTCCAGATAGAACAAACATTACCTAAGAGGAGAAGAGTGAGCCAGGTCTTAAGGCTGTATTAAAGGGTATAGCTGTACTAAATCTCCATAATCTTTTCATTTTTTACAATATGTTTGGTATCTACAAGAGTAAAGTTGGCCTAACAAACAAGCCTCAGGAACGTAACTCGTTCGTAAGTAGAGGAGCACCTGTATATGTCTTGAAAATGCTTAAACAGGTACAGTATATACAGTATCTAATCTCAACCTGGTCAGTTGTTTATATATATATATATATATATATATATATATATATATATATATATATATATATATATATATATATATATATATATATATATATATATATATATATATATATATATATATATATATATATACACATATACACACACACACCCATTACAATACCAATATTCCACATTCATCTATTAATGCTGATATTTTCCTGTTCTTATTTTCTTCCCCCTCATATTTTCCTATCTAGTAAGAGTAACAAATTGCTAAAATTCTTACCATTGTAACCTGCTGTCAATGTACTTTGTATTTCATATCTTATCACAGAACAAAAGGATATTTTCATGGAACATTTCTAAGACTAATACATCAAGGAAAAGTACTACACAATAGTCATACAAGGAATGAAATGATCAGATAAAGTGAAAATTACTATAAACATCTTTTAATATTTTACAGTAACCTCCCCCAACTTTAGACAGACTATTTAAGGCTGAAAAGGGAGTCTGGCTTTGTTGACTTTCTACAAACACAAAATAACCTCATTTATGGTCATTTTACAGTAACTAACTTTATCCACACTCCATTATACAAGAAAGTGCATAAAATAACAATTCTGAGGCTGAGGTGTAAAAGGCAAAGACATGGAGTGGCTATGTTTTGTGGAAGGTCAGTTGGCATCACCAAATCCATCAGTTTATCGGCAACGTTTATGTGCTCGTACATTTGTTTTAACCTTGCCTCACCAACACTACTACCAAATGCACAACCCAGTGATGGAATAGAAAGTGTACACACACACACAAAGGTTAAAGTCAGGATTTCTACTCGAGTATAAACACAAAACTGAGTACCAATGGTATCCCCCAAGGCAAGCCAAATCTCACACGGATTTGAAGATGGAGAATGGTGACCCAAAGGACCAAACCAATATTTGTTCTAATGAGTGATATTTTAGTCTAATATTTTCTGATTTTTGTGGTAGAGTCTGAATGGATCGTGTGCCATTAACATAAAATGACTTAGCAGACTGGCCTAATATTGAAAAAAAAAAAAATAATAATAATTTGTTCTCAACAAGTACAGTACAGATGGTCTAGATTAGTGAAGATTTCTAGCTACCATTAAGTGAAGTCAGGTAAAGCAGAGTTTACTGTATAAATATATATCATAAATTTATAGAGTGAGAGAGAGAGAGAGAAGTGATATAAATTCATTCCTTTATAACAATGAGAAAGTATAACACATGTGTCCTCTACAACTTCAACTACTGTACACTCACGGACACACGACAGTTAACCTAACCTTACCATTTGCAAGTAATCCTTCACGTTTGAGTAAGACTGGCAAAAGCAAAAATGCATTAGATAATTAGCTATGGGTAGGAAATATAGTCAAGATGGAAACAACCACCAAAAAATAAGCTCTTCAAACAGGCAACAATTAACATATAATAACTTAAAGAAGATGTTACCCACTGAATAAAATGATGGATTCTGTATCTGTAAAATGGATGTGCACAATTATTTGGCATTTTCAATCATTTCTACAAGACTTCCATGAAAAGCTGGAGTTTTAAAGGGTTCATTCAAGCAAGTTCACATTAGTAATACAAAACAATCATGACATACACCATTAACATTAGTTTTATGAGGATGATAACATATTAACTAGGCTTGATTGGTCACTGTGGTTCTACAGAAAACTTACAATCAAACATTTCAGTTTTCAGTTTTATTTTCAAAGAAAATATTATAATGTAGTTGAAAAAATATACCGGTACTTAGGCTCCTAAGTTGATAGAGTAAAATGATCTTGTATTATTTATGTAGGGCAGGGTTCTACGAGTGACTGTAGTAGGACTTGGCCAAATAAAGAATCAAATACAAAAAAATGAGGATTGAAGGAAATACACAACTACAGACAATGCAATACTAAGCATTTCCTTGGGCAACATGCTAACAAACCTATATATTCAAGACGACAACAGCAGCATTAAAGATGTACCAACTAGCATGAAAGTGGAATCAACCTGACATAAAAACAAAACTTTCTAAAATCTATTGTCTATTTTAGAATAAATTGGAGCAACCCTAAACTACCCTTGTGAACCTTGTGTCTGACTAAACAACCTGAATATGTTCGTCCAATATTTTAAAAGCAGAAATATCAATCTAAGTTATTATCCCCAGCATATATTTTACCCTCAGTTTATTCCTGTATGATATATGTGATGTGCTTACCTGTGTTCTGGTTACTGCCTTCTATCCTAACCCATTCAATGCAGCTGGACTGAATCTCGACCTCAGTTTAACACTTTTGAAGCGTGACGAGTTTAAATACCACATATAGCACGTTATCATTGAAGGGTAAATATCACATCAAGTATTACACCAAAGTTGCGGATTAATTCAGATAAAAAAAGTAGACCATGAAGAAGATTTAAATTTGTCGGAGTAAAGAAAAATTTGCAGTCAATCAGTCCACATATGCATACAATAAATGTAGTTTGTGCCGTGCATCAGAACCCAGTGTATGAGCCACTAACCTCACCTTTTATGCCATCGATCTGGAGTAAGTGGGAGATAGTTTATTGAGCACAACCACATATAAAATATACTGTTATAAGTTGGTGCATTGACTGAGAGGTGAATGAATGATGGAAATAAGAAGAATAGGTTGTTTATGTGCGTCAGGTGTAAGAAATGGATGGACTAAACTCCCAGAAGAATATATATGACAAGGAATAGGAATAGATGTTAAAATATAAAATTAATGAAAGAAATATGGATCAAAATGACAAAACTTGTTATATAATGATATTGTGAATTTTGTGAAGCATATAACGAGACACTGAGTACGAGAATAAAATTATACTTAGCTAAGTTTATGTAGGTGGGAAAAAGAGCTAGGTAAAATCAGTGAAAAGTTGGTTACAGGGATGCGTACCAAGTTTTCCTGGAGAGGGTACAGCAGAGTATGTATTTAAGGTGCATTTTTAGTTAAGACATTACAGCTGTATTCTGAGACATAAGACTTCAAAAATAGCCATGAAGTGGGGACTATAGGGAAAGCTATTAAAGAAAACTACATAAGGATACAAGGTTACTTTCAAAACACGAAGAAAATGTGGAATGACGATGAAAAAGCAAAATTATTTATGTCAGAATTTGTTTTTAAGATTTAGAGACAGTTAGGGAGGAAGATAAGAGAGAATTACATGAAACTGTGAAGAGTGGTTTATAAATTTCAAGATGCAAAGGATGGTCATAGAAAATTAGTGTGTGTGTGTGTGTGTGAAAGATAGGGCTATTAGTATGAAGAAATATGACAGGAATAAACAGTGGAGCCTCTGCATAAACCACCTTCCAAGAAAATGAGAGGCTGTCATGGATAGGCAGATTATAATAAATAAAAAAGTCATCCACAAATTTCTGAATGCACAAAAAGAAACAAATGAATGACTACTTAAATCTACATTACCTGAGCCAATGTTGAATTCCTTTCCAGACATGATATGATGCAGCAGGTTCTTCATCTCAAAAGGTGAGAGGTTGAGGAGGTGATCTGAGGCCACATCTGCAGCACATTTGATGGTTCTTGCCAGTTCTGAGGCCATGACCTATTAAGACATACAGTACTGTACTATAATGTATAAACTGTATCCATCTATAAATTTACCTAACAATGAGGAACATTGCTTTACTGTTTGATGATGATAGCCTTTAACACACATAATATACATACTGTTTAGAAGCTCATGAAACAAGGGCAATAATGCTTAGTATTAATGATTGATATGAATCTATAAGGTCTTTCAAATATTGCACAAATCACTTCCTAGGTACATCCCTTGATCTGATTCTTCGTGACCTTTCAGAGACTGCACAAATTAATTATTTATACTTATATACTTTCAATTTAGCCTGAAAAAAAATGTAAAATAGGTAAGAAAACAGGGCAGGGTAAAGTAAATGACTCTGTACGTATAGTATAAATTTAACAAGACCGAGATAAAGAGACAGTGTTGTACCTGTATGATTAGACCCACGCGGAGCCTCAGCATCTCGTGGAAAAGACTCGGTTCAGTGCGGATGAACATTGCCAGGTACACCAACAACTCCTGGGTCAACATGGCAGTACACTCATCTGCTCCGTATGCCTGGTGGATGAGGACTCGCAGCTCGGATGAGGGAAGCGGTGCAGTGATAGTAACTTCATTGTGTGGTGGCAAGCCAACTGTCACCTGCTTCTGTCGCACTAAGAGGTCTGTTACAGCCTTGGCCAAGTCTTCTACACGCTTACCCAACATACCTGTAGGTGAAGTAAAATGTGATAGATTTTGTTTTCTGTTTGTACATACACAATGCTACTTACTCATTACTGTTTGTACTGTACTGATGCCCTACCACATAGAGGCACATAAATTTTCAGGTTATGAACTCATTGACAGTTCAAGTGATTACCAATCTTGGCTATTTCTTCAGCTAAAAAAAGAACAAATACTATAACCAACCAAACATAAAATTTGGCAAAAAGTTGTTTGAGATTTTCTGTATATCTGACAATATGTTTGTTTACTGTGTAAATTAGTATATAAACTTGATGCTTTAAAACCAGCCAGAAGCTTCTCAAATCCAACATACATTTCACTTGTCATTCCACTCCTTGTCAATACTGTACTTGCTATCAAGACCTTCACACAGTAACGTACCAGCAGTGTGTCTGACAAGAGCCCAGTGCTTGATGTGACAGGCCCTCTCATATAAGTCCTTGAGTAGATCCTTCACTGTTACTGGCTGACCTTCAATCACCGACCCTGTCTCATGACCCAGCCCAAACTGCACAACCTGGGGTCAAACAAATCAATATTAGTAACTTGCTTCTGCATTTGCTTGATAAATTTACCTCAGACTCTAGTAGTTCTGTAAACTTAGTAACTTAAAGGATGCACAGGCAGTGACATCAAACTTGCTACATAATATGCACTACATGTACTGTGCATATGTTGTCTTTACATGAGAATTTATGTATTATGTCATCAATTATGTGCAAGTAATTCTGTAAACCTAGGTACAGGGTATTTCAAACTTGTGCACACACACATAAGTTTCACAAAATTATCAGAAAGTTTAAAAAAGCACAAAATCAGTAATATAACAGGAATGCCCTATAGAGAGTAAGCATCAGAAGGCTAGCTAAGACTAACTAACCAGGTAGTGAAGGATGTCGCCTTGTTCCTCCAATGTCTCTGCCTCCCGCATCTGCAGCAGTAACTCCTCCAGGTCCACATTCTCATACACAGCATCAGAGGCCACCCTGTGGACAATACACAACATTAGTTTATCACACCACTATGGCTTGTAAGTGCTGAACTATATACCGGTAGCACTGAAATTGAATGCATATTTAACCAAGTTCTCATACATAATGGCTATAGTACTGTACCTGAATACTCAAGTACAAGAGATGATTTTCACTTATACAGTATACTGTACACAACCCCATGATCTCAAACATTTAACGACACACACACACAAACTTACTCTAAAAATAGTGTATAAACAGAAAAGAATACAGTCTCCATTACTTACACTCAGCCCTACACATTCTTACACACACACAGTACAAGCAAACATAATCAAACAGACATAAATAATATACATGTAGACAGACACACACAATTAAAGAAATTGACTTGCTTCAAATTGGTGTGATGACAGCTGGGACACCATGTCCTGGCTATATCCCACAAGTATGAAAAACTTATGATGATAATAAAGAAAAGAGACAAGACACCATTGCTGATACAAGCGCGGTAAGTGCCAGCAATTGATCTCCCTATTCAGACACACTTGAGGCAGCCACTTCCCGTGTACCCTTTGCATGGCTCTTCCTCATTAATCACAGGAGTACTGCAGGGAGTCCCATAAAGGAACACAGTTTTATATTATTCTCCAGTAATTTGACTTAAGGTTAATCCTAAAATTCCTGTACAGTATATCATAAGTTTGCTCTCTCTCACTCTCTCTTATTCTCTCCTAAGCCGCCTTCAAAAAGTTTCACAATGTTCTTTAATCAAAGGCCCAAATATCTACAGAAATTAAAAAAAAAAAGTCGTAAAAATATCAGGAACATCTTTTATCTGTCAGAATTTCTGCTGTAGAAGTCAGCACCATTATCAGCCCTTCAGAGTGTTTGTAAACACTGCCAGGAATATGCCAGCATTGCATGACTCTGGTAATGAGCCAGCTATAACATTACTATTACAGATACTTAGTAATCCAGTACTGACCTCTATGTTATACAGTGTACCTAATCCATGTATATTAAAGTCAAGCATCAAGAGTGAAGTACAAGTACAGTCCATAGAGTGGTCTAGGCTCGTTAACTTTAACCAGCATAACCTTGAAGAACAGCTCGGGTCCAGAGTAACAAAGGTTCATACAGTACCATGAATATTCCTCGGAACTTTTAAGGACGACAGGCTACTCAAAAATGAAAACAGCAGGTATTCAAATGCCACTTTATTAATCTTCAGTTAAATAGTAATTAAAGTGTTAATATTCCCCACTCAAGAATGGAGAAAATAATTATTCTTTCCATGTAACTAGTTCCGGCATGAGGTGGCACCATACGTCAGCCATAACAACAACCGCCCGCCTTGACAATCCATCACAAGGCTGCGTCAAAGGAAAGCTAATTCTGCCCGCTGTCATATCACGCACTTACATCCTCACATCTTATTTCACACACAAACACACACACACTCTTCATGATCTTAGTTCACACACAAACACACACACACTCTATGATATTAGTTCACACACAAACGCACACACTCTATGGTATTAGTTCACACACAAACTTTACAGTACTATACTACAGTATATTAATTCATGCAATCACAATACGTATCTTTCTAAAATTCTTTCTCACAACCACACAATCTTTCTTGCTATAATTCCCTCTCCACATTATCAACTTTAGGCCAAAGGACAAAGAAAATACGACTCTAACTTACCATGATACAAGAAATTGATAATAAAAATACTGAACATGTACATAATGGTAATAATGTGCACTGTACTTGTGATCTGACACTAGCTGGACTTTATCACATGTTATATAGTGTGTCCAAAATAACTCTGCATCATTAGCAAGTGGAGGGTGGCAAGGGTAAGAACTAAACTAATTTAATAGTGCAATATACTGAATTCCTGTGATTTTTTTAACAATTTCTCCCCCTGAGTTTGCATTCTTGTGTTATTCCAGTTTATTATGTATTTTTTTTTTTAAGTTGGATAGTACACTCAGATGATGCGATGATTAAGCACACCAGCTTATTTAGTCTTAAGATAAATCACCCTAAGCACACCTAACCTAACCTCCCCTCACAAGTAGAATTAGGGTGTTTAATCAGCAGGGTAAATAAGCTAACGTGGCTAATCCTCATGTGATAGTTAGGGTCATTTGAGAGAGACAAAAACATCAGCTGGGAACGATAACAGGTGATAACAACAAGACCAATTCTAAGAGAGAATCCCACACCAGCTGCAGTTTACGCTTAATAAATCCACATTTAGGATAAGTCACATTATGGTACAGGGGATTCTATCCGTGGTCTTATAATATATACATCCAAGACCCCACCACACATTAATCACACTTACATACCAACCCAAGTTAAGCTGTGTTACTTAGCAAGAGATTTATGAACCCAAGTCAAAACTCACAAACATAACAAAATCAAACATAACTCAACCTAACATGACTTAATGTACAATAATATAATCTAACCAAATGTAACACAACACAACGTATAAGTTAACCTAAGTTAACCTAACCTAACCTAACCTGTAACCTTATCTATATAAAACGTAGCGTGACTTAACTCCGCCTCGATTACTTCAGTCTCTCAAACAGGTACAAGAGCTCCTTAAGGTCATCAGGGTATACCTCAGGTATACCTCTCAGTGGGTGCTGCCCTCTGTGGACTCGACTACAAATACTGTATGTGATTTATGTGGCTTTCACACATCATTACCACTACTACCATCACACCCCCCTCAAACCAGCACCTCTGCCATTATACCCCTCCCACACCACTACCACCATTACTACCATCTTCACCCTCACTCATCCACCACAATCATTCCCCCTACACTACCACCCCACTACATCACCATCACTCCCCTAACCACCACCCTTCCCCATTCACCCCCCCCACACTAATACCATCCCTCCAACCACCATCACTCCCCCAACACCATGAGTCACCCTTAACGATTTATGAATGGTTCTGCGTGCCACTTTGTCAGGTCGGATCATGCAAGGTTGGATGTGGTGTGGATGTGACGAGCGAGAGTGTACTTATTTAGTGGTTGCTGTGGAGGTAATTGTGTGGATGCTGTGGTGGCGGTCGTGTGGATGGTGGATCGTGGTACTGGGTGTGATTGGTTAGGTTAGGTCAGGTCCTATCAACACTAGGGCCCATGAGTACAGTCAGTGGAATGCACGCCATCAGTCTTACCAGGAACCCTCTGTGTTTGAGACCTGCAGTGAAGGATAATGAAAGGACTAGTGTGTGTGTGTGTGTGTGTGTGTGTGTGTGTGTGTGTAGGGAGGCGCATGAGTGTATGGCAGGGGGGTGTGTGTGTGTGTGTGTAGGGAGGTGCATGAGTGTATGGCAGGGGTGGGTGTGTGTGTTGGGGGAAGGGTGTGAGTGTGTGTGTGGCAGGGGTACAAGTATGCGTGGGAGGAGCAGTTGTAAGCATGTAGTTGGCAGACTGGGGTAAGAGAGGGAGGGAAGAGGGATGTCTGCCTCAACTAACAGAGAAAAATCATGCAACACGAGCGATATACAGTATGGTCTGGACCCCCCCCCCCACCACGCTAAACTTTAATAAGGTTAATCTACAGGGAAAACTCTTAGCTCCAACACTGTATAGCTTCACATTCACCACAACTGGTCAGTGTCACGAGCAGCCATCTTCCTGTTTCATGGCGCTTTGATGTCAGTTTGCATGTACTTCTGATTGTTGTTATTGTGTGTGTGTGTGTGTGTGTGTACATGGGAATAAATTAGGTGGTAGGGTGGATTAAACCCCTCTGCCACACAAAACACATGCAGTACCTTTACACATGAAATACACTACTTACACACTTTTACACACACACACACACACACACACACACACAGTGACCTTGAACTCCATGACCCTCTGACCCCCATAAAAAATTTACATGTCTTGGAATGGTAATGACAAGCCTTACCACGTTTAAAAGCAATCTTTCCAAACTTGCACGACAGGGTGAGTTCACTAGCTTAACACACACACACACACCTGCTACCACGACCCTCACATACACTACAATACATAAACCATACATAAACCAAAATACACACAATATACAAAGGTACACTATATCGTAAGTGTATTGTAAGTGTATTGTAAGTGTATTGTAAGTGTCTTTTGCTGGCTCGACATTCTTTTTTATCCTACCTTGGTATGTGTCTTTCTAGTATGGATGCCGGTCAGAAAAAAAAATTACTGTACCCTTGTCATGTATGTATGTTCCTCTGTAATAGGTAGCATACATAGTTATCCCTCTAGAGCAGGTAGTGAAGGCCCTCTCTTGTCACACAACACTTACATACACCACATTCTGAATACCTAATTACTTTACCTGCACCTCACCTGAACTTACACAGCTACACTTACACATCTCCCTTATACACCTTAATTACACCTCTACATTCCTTAATAAATACCTAATGTGTTCTCCCCCCCCTTGAACACCCAGCAGGTCCCCTCTTCCTCCTGCTTCATCCTTCTTCTTCTCCTCTATTACTACCACCAGCTAACAGACTCTCCCTCTCCCCCTACCCTCCCTTCTACAAGCACCACCAACACAATCAGCTGACAACCTCCCCCTCCCCTCTACACACTACCTCAATGCCCCCCTCTCCCCAGGTATAAACAACATCGTCATGACTACTCAATGTCCATGAGCCCGTGTGTGCGTGTGACCTGGGGTGGGGAGGGGGGAGGGAAGGGGAGTAAGGGCCACCAGGTGTTCATCCGTGTCAGGCAGGTAAGCGTGACGTTGTGGAGGAGGGGTCGAGGAGGGAGGGAGGGAGCCTCAGTCACTCCAGGGCAGTCAGTCTCTCCACGTGCTCAAGGTCACCCCCCCCCCGCCCCGTCCACGGCTCCTAGTGACCGATCCACCCCACCGACCTAACTGCACCTGCCGTCAGTTGAACACTCCCTCCTCTACTGGCTGGGGGCTGTATATCTGACTCAGTGCTCCGGTGGACGATGGGTTAAAGACTGCCGTGTCCCCGAGTGTAGACAGATATATTTTGTTTTTAATACCCGTGTTTATCCGTGTTTTTATCCCCGTGTTTATCCCGTGTTTTTCTAGTGTTTTCCCCCGTGTTTATTAAATTTCTAAATACCGCCATTGTGTGTGTTTCTGATATCACAGTTATTATATACAAGTATTTTAACAATGGAAATATACCACACGTGTATAACCTTATGTACGTACCTGAAGTGTGTTTACATACAGGAATACACCCAAGTATATTAGTGGTGTATGGGTCACGCATGAACATACACCCCTTTAAGGAACTACAGTAGTGTTGTGTGTATACCTGAGTGTGAGGTAACAGTGAACAACTGAGTGTGTGACAAGTGGAACAAGCAGTTAACAAAGACCTCGTATGACGTAGGGTAATTCTAGACAAGACTACAGTTACCGTAATTACTTCCCACCTGTGGTTTAAGGGCGCTGGGACCATAGTTTGTGGCAGAGAGAGAGAGAGAGAGAGAGACTTTTTTTGAGTACACAGTGGAATGGGGCAATTGGCGTGTGTATGTATGTCGGAAAATAAATAATAAGAAAAACTGATCCATTGGGTCATATTGGTATTGTTTTGTGGTCTTCATTACACACACAATGATGACAACACACCACAAGTATACTGTACACGCGCGCCATGGAAACCAACACACACACAGGTGAGATATATATATATATATATATATATGGCATTGATTTTTTTTACAACACACCATTTATGTCCTACTTACTGTACACATACGCCCACACACTTATCCCTCCCACAGGTGTACTAATTAAGCCTACACAACAGGTATAAATCAATACCCAAATGGCCTCCTAAATTTACCTTACTCTTCCCCGGCTAATATTCAGTACAGTGCCGCCCCCCCCCAACGAGTCAGCTGTACCTGTGTCATTAGCTTACCTGTGATAGCCGTGGCGTTCATTTCCGGGGTTAAAACAGGTTGGTGTGTGTGTGTGTGTGTGTGTGTGTGTGTGTGTCGTAGCTTAAAAAATAATATTCATTTATGTGACCTTGAAATATTACACAGTACCGCAATATTTATGAGAACACCCCTTTAAGCTACCATCAATTATTGTGTCTGACTAACTAATCTCTCTCTCTCTCTCTCTCTCTCTCTCTCTCTCATGTTCTGCAAAAGTTTACAATATCAATCAAACACACAGGAATCAATAAACGGTTTTAGAATATTAGGTTTTTTGAGGGTGTCTCAGTACAGGCCAATATTTACCAAAGTTCCCACCTTTCTTGTCAGTCGGTAATAGGCTGCAGGCATGGTACCATTTGTTGACATTGGCAGGTAACCTCTCCCGGCCAAGGTGAAATAAGTTGCTGACCTAAGATTACGTTGCAATAAAGAGCTAATGCATTGTAGTCTTAAGTGCATAATTCTCATAAAAGCCTAATGTTGTTGACTCGTATTAGTGAGAGTACGGTATAATAATAAAGATGGATATATTGTACACCCGTATCCCGTACCAGACATACGCGGGACTAGGGAGTCTCATATGACTATATATGATTTTTTTTATCATGTAACCTCATCGAACCTCACTCAACCTAATTTAGTCTAACCTAACCTAGTATAACCAAATCTACCCTAACCCAACGTAATGTAACATAACCCAACCAAATCTAACCAACCCTAATCCAGTCTAACCTAACCCAACCCACTCTAACCAACCCTAATCCAGTCTAACCTAACCCAACCCACTCTAACCAACCCTAATCCAGTCTAACCTAACCCAACCCACTCTAACCAACCCTAATCCAGTCTAACCTAACCCAACCCACTCTAACCAACCCTAATACAGTCTAACCAACCTAACCCAACCCACTCTAACCAACCCTAACCCAGTCTAACCTACCTTACTTAACCCAATCTAACCAAATGTTCGATAACTAGCCACCCATCACACCAAAACTGACCGTATGAACAACTATCTTTCAGTGGTATGTTCGTTGCTAAGCCTCTGGTCTGCATTCCTTCAACAATCCACGTGGTATTCAGAGGCCAAGGGAGGTGTGGAGGTCGGGGAGGTGTGTAGGTCGGGGGAGTTGTGGAGGTCGGGGGGAGGGTAGTGGAAGAGAGAAGGGAAGGTTTGGAGAGTAGAGGGAAGGTTTGGAGGGAAGTGGGGAGTTGGGGGAGGTGTGGAGGGTAAAACAGGAGGGTTGGAGGGTAAGAGGGGAAAATAGTCCAATTTTAACACAGACATATTTAAAATCTGAACACTATGCAATATCCAGATTTTGACATATAATGAATTAAAATCTGGGCATATTTTTTGTTGTTGTTGAATCTGTATGTACGTATTTTAAAGTCGAAATTTCATCCTCAGAGTGTGTGTGTGTGTGTGTGTGTCGTTCATCACAAGTCTCACGTGAGGGAGGAGGACGGCCGCTGTGTTGGACGATGTCTTCAATTACCTGATTTTTATTGTCTCCTGAACCGCGCCATTGACGTCACGGAGGGGTGGGGTGGTAGTGGGGGTGAGGGGGGAGGGGGCCAGTTATTCTGTCATCCCTCAAAAAAAAACTGTCTGACTGACTGGTTGATTACACCCCATATTAGCAGTCATTTTTAACACACACACACACACACACACACACTTAAGTCAACACTCCATAAACTCAGCCACGTCAATATTGTTGTTATTCACTTTGTCAGTGTTAGTTTGGCTATATAACATGATTTAATGTGTTAACTTGTACTGTTTGTTTCGCCGTAAAAAAAAGTAATAAATCTACGGACTAACCAACCCACGTTTTACTTACTGAGGCAATGGAATAAAAATAATAATAATAATAATAATAATAATAATAATGTAATAAATAGTAATAATAATAGCAAAAATAATAATAAAATAATAAAATAATAACAACTCGGTCAGGGGAGAAAAATGTCTTCATCAAAACGTTCATAAACACAGTATTTAAAGCCAGCAGAAGCGTGTTGGTCATAATATAATCGCACACATTATCACTCATTTAACATGGTAAAAAAAAGACCGCTAAACCCAACATAACTTACCACGAACACAAATTAATTCCAGGTTATAAAATATTAACACAAGCGTCGCGCCGGCAGTTAATATACACGACATACAAAAAAGTTATTTAATATTTATGAAATCTTTCGCTCTGCATCTCTTATCCAGCGTTCATTAATTAAGACAACTAATCTTCTATCTCTGTAATCGCAAAATTCACCGCAGGAATATCATCGTAATTATTAATGCAGGAGGTAATGTAAAAATTGGTGGAGGCGGCGGTGGGATTGGCGGGTCTATGAATACTCCATTACCTTGTGGTCCTTTGCTAATATGGAGCAAGACACGCAAACTCTACCCCCCTCCCTAACCCCACCTCCTTCACCCACCCTGCCTACCATACTGTCATTTTGCCGGATGTGATGTGTTCCTTATAATTCCTCTTAAATGATGAAGAATAGTAATTGCATTGAAATTAAAAGGCATACACATTCATGTTCTGGACTTGTTATGACCTCGAGGGAAGGGACTTTGTAAACAACACACCCCTCCATCCTATGTGTCTTGCCATCTGGCTGGCCCATCACCACCCAAATCTTGACACAAACATAAACCTATGACCCGGAGAGAGAGAGAGAGAGAGAGAGAGAGAGAGAGAGAGAGAGAGAGAGCTGCCGGGGTCATGTGAAGTGACCTTCAGGTTATGGAGGTTAAGAAGGGGGGGCGGTAGGGGATTTTGGGGGTACGTAACCTTCAAGTTGGTACAGTAATAGTTTCATAGTGGGGGGTAGGGGGTGACATCCACAGCTAAAGCAACACCACCACCACCATGACAACACTAATCAGCTGACCGACTTAATGTCAAGAAGACAATGCCTGTCATGGTCAGTTGGTCACTAAAGTTAATCATTACACTCAAAAAAAAAAATAATAAATAAATATTTACTGATAAAACTCCACTCCAGGGTAAAATAAACATCAACTGTGTGAATAAACTAATCCAGAAAATATAACATAAACTAGTGTTAAACAGTGAATATTTAACCAACTCGGCAAAATCCAAGAGAACAGAAATATAAATATGAGCTTCAGATAACAGAATAAATACGTCAGGTTAACAAATGAACAAAGATTTAACTGGGGGATATACAGTAGCGTCAGTGTGTGTTAGAGCCCAGGGACCTCTCACACAAGCAACACCCTCCTTCAGTAGCAGGGTGTAGGAGGATGTGAAGAAGCAGTGATAGTAGTGGGAATAACAATCAGGAGGAAGATTGGTAGTAGAAGCAGGAGGAGGATATCAGCAGGAAGGAAGAGGAACAACAAGTAGAATTATCGTCTTCCTTCTCTTCCCAATCCAAAGGAAACACTACAACCACCACACCTTCGTCAGCCACACCGTCACGCCACACCATCACCGCCACACCACCTCAGCCACTATGTTGAAGCCCTGCCATACTGGTAAGTGAGATTGCGTCCACCAGCTCTATGAATGGTAATCCTGACTATCGGAGAGAGAACCTCCTTACCAGTCCCTTGTTCTGTCTGTCTATCCAATTGTTTGTCTCTCCCCCCCCTCCTTCATTCCCTCCCCTCCTTCATTCTCACCACTTCCTTCCCTATCCCTCTCTCCCCTACCCACTAATAAACCACTCCCTCACTATTCCCCTCTCCGATTCAAGGACTCATTTAAAGTGCTCAACTAACTAAGTCCTCTTGATAACTCACACAAAACACTACAGCTCCTCTTGATAACTCACACAAAACACTACAGCTCCTCTTGCTCCTCTTGATAACTCACACAAAACACTACAGGTCCTCTTGATAACTCACACAAAACACTACAGCTCCTCTTGATAACTCACACAAAACACTACAGGTCCTCTTGATAACTCACACAAAACACTACAGCTCCTCTTGATAACTCACACAAAACACTACAGCTCACACAAACACTACAGATAACTCACACAAAACACTACAGGTCTTGATAACTCACACAAAACACTACAGCCCTCTTGATAACTCACACAAAACACTACAGCTCCTCTTGATAACTCACACAAAACACTACAGCTCCTCTTGATAACCTCACACAAAACACAACAGCTCCTCTTGATAACTCACACAAAACACTACAGGTCCTCTTGATAACTCACACAAACACTACAGGCTCCTCTTGATAACTCACACAAAACACTACAGGTCCTCTTGATAACTCACACAAAACACTACAGCTCCTCTTGATAACTCACACAAAACACTCACACAAAACACTACAGCTCCTCTTGATAACTCACACAAAACACTACAGCTCCTCTTGATAACTCACACAAAACACTACAGCTCCTCTTGATAACTCACACAAAACACTACAGCTCCTCTTGATAACTCACACAAAACACTACAGCTCCTCTTGATAACTCACACAAAACACTACAGCTCCTCTTGATAACTCACACAAAACACTACAGCTCCTCTTGATAACTCACACAAAACACTACAGCTCCTCTTGATAACTCACACAAAACACTACAGCTCCTCTTGATAACTCACACAAAACACTACAGCTCCTCTTGATAACTCACACAAAACACTACAGCTCCTCTTGATAACTCTCACAAAACACTACAGCTCCTCTTGATAACTCACACAAAACACTACAGCTCCTCTTGATAACTCACACAAAACACTACAGCTCCTCTTGATAACTCACACAAAACACTACAGCTCCTCTTGATAACTCACACAAAACACTACAGCTCCTCTTGATAACTCACACAAAACACTACAGCTCCTCTTGATAACTCACACAAAACACTACAGCTCCTCTTGATAACTCACACAAAACACTACAGCTCCTAACTCACACAAAACACTACAGCTCCCTCCTGATAACTCACACAAAACACTACAGGTCCT